GAAACACATGGATTTAATGAAGTCTCTCCAGTCAGATATAGCTTGCAGGCCAGGCTTAATGCCCTGGTCTTGATTCTTAGTAGAAGTTTGTATAGGACCAGCCAAAAAGTCCAGTGGTGGGAATGACTGTATGTGTGACTGTATGACTGTGTGGAATTGTACAGAGAAAGGCGCTGAACACTTTAAATTCACAGTTGTGTTAAAGTGAACCTTTGTTGAGATCAGGTTGATCAGGTAATTTCAAAATGTGCCACGTTTTTGTGTCTTAGCTGCTGGAAGGTACGGAAGTTCTTTGATATGGTAGCTTTTTTTTATTTTAGGATATTTGCCAAAAATGAGATACCAGTTTTAGAGTGCAGGAGAGAATGGAGAGGGAATAATATAACGCACCGTGTGTGTTAGTAGTACTTGTTTCTATGGCAATATGAAGATTTTCTACAAGTCATGTAAGCAAGTGGCTTCTTCAGTTCTTTGGAGATGACTTTACCCATATTTCTGTGATCAGAACATGTTACTGCATGTATTTAACATGCATATTTCCTTCTTGCAGCCTTTATTCTGTAGCTGTTGAATTCCAGCCCTGGCCGTGAATCACTGGACCTGGATTTTCTGAGTAATATCTCCAGTCTCTCCATTCTTACCATATACTGGGCAAAAGAAATCAGGTCTTGTGGAGGCTGTTTGTCCATTTGAAGTCAGCTGTTTGAAAGACCAGACCAAAGTTTAGACCATTAAAATGCAATATTTAAAAAAAATCTGTCATGTAGAAGGATTAGCATTCCAAAAATGACTGGTTTTTTTCTGTCTTTGTGGATAAATTTAGACAGCTAATTTTTTCAGTAGTTGGCTGGGAGGACATCCTCCCTCCCTCTTCTGGTTTCTGCTCAAAGCTGGGTTTTTCCCTTGTCTTTCAGAAATGCTTTATGTGAAGGATGCATTATGAAATGAGAAAAAAAAAAAAAAAAGGGAAGGATTGAATATCGTTTCAGAAGGAGAGAAAGAATCTTAAAGAATAATAATAATAATAAAATAGTATCCCACACTTGGCAGCCCGGTGCTTGCCCGCGTGCGACTGGCCGGGTGCCAGCCTTGGCAGGGCCGGCCGCCACAGCTTGCCAGAAGTCTTCCTCTCCTGGCCACGCTCCCCTCCATGAGACGGATGGCTCGTTCACCTGATGCTTCTGTTCCAGGGCTGCTGAAGTCCCAGCGTCTTGGAGCTGATAAGAGCACTTTGTCTGTCCAAACTGTGCAATAGCCGTGATGTCAACGCGGGGCCGTTTCAGGGAGCTTTCGCTCTGTGTCGCTCCATACAGCACTGAGATAACTCGTGGCAGAAAGCCTTATTGCCACAGTGTGAAGCTGTCCCAAAAGTAGCTGCTCTAAATACAGAGATGATTTGTTTCTTGCCTTTTTTGTTTTGTTTGAGGATTTCCCAACCTGGCTTTTAGTTTGCAATTGCAGTTCAGCATCTTGGAGATTTTAATTGAGAGTGATGAGTCTGAGTTGGGTTCTCTTGGAATTCTTCTTGCTTCTTTTAAAGATTTGCATTTATTTTTCCAGTATCTCCTTTCTGTGTGACAGGTCTGGCCGGGCTGCTCAATGAGCAGCTAGCTGGAAGTGATATATTTTGCATTTTTGAGTAATCCTATCTTAATAGCATTTGGAAAATCTCTTGAATTGTGTTGACAAGGAGAACTTTCATTTGAAGAAATCAGAGGGAAGGTGAAGCACAGAAGGTCAGAAAAACTACTGCTGTTATTTTTGCTCTGGTAAATTTGATTTGTGGCTTGTGGTATTCTTGTCATGTCATTCTTTGAAGAGCTGCTGATTATTTGGTACTTTCACTCCCTGAAAGTAAACAACGAGGCTCTCTGGTCTAGTCGAGCCACTGCCATCTCTTCAGTAGGATCATGAAGCTGCGTAAGGGTCTGCTATTCCTAGGTCTTGTTTTGGCTTCTTCCTTCCATGGCTGCACTCCAAGGTCTCTGAAATTTTCCATTATCTTGGTAGCTCCACGTGATGACAATTAAGTATTTCTTGCCCTTGTGGCTGTCAGCAAGGATTTGTTCTTTTTTTCTTGTGTACAGTCATCAGCCTTTCTGATTCAAGGCACTTTCGTACCTAGCAGTTAAATTCTGTCCCAAAATGTCAGCCCACCATTCGCTTATGTTTGTCTGATGTTCCTGCAGACTCAAGTCAACAAGTATTCAAATGTAATTCAGTTTTTTTTTTTTTTTTTTGGCAAACTTTCATTTTCAATGTTTTGCTAAGATGTAGCAGCCCAAGTAACACCATTCATGAGGGAGGGAGAGGGGGAGTAAGGCTGATGTTCTATAGTGAGGCTTCTGAGTAGGGCTGTCTCAGGGACCTGGCATTTTAGGCAGATAGGACTTCGTGTTGTTTGTTCTGTATCCTGTACACACAAAAGTTCTTGTCCTGCCTCTTCTAAGAAACAGGATGCCTGTATTGTCTCCAGGCTGAGAACTTTGCCAACGTTAGCAACAAGTGAGAAATAGGGTTGAGAGAAAAATGAGGTTGCTGAGCTTTTAAAAAATTATGTGTACAGCATTTTCAGTAGTTGTCGTTCAAATGACTGCCGTTAAAACTGTTCCTACGCTTTAGAAATCTAGTTCACTGATTACCTTGTTCACGTGAACTCGGATATCCTCCTTTGCTTCACTTTGTGCTCCTGCAGGCAGCAGTCAGCAGATTTACAGAGAGATGCAGGGAATCCTATTTATACACCAGTCTGTTCCTGAATTGCAGAGGCACTAAGGCAGTATGGAAGGCTTTTCCAGGAGTGAAATCATCTCGCTCCTTCTCTACTACGTTCACGTGGACACTTAGTGCGGCAGCCTTTGTTTTTTGCAAGTGTCTGCCCTGATGGAAACACGCAGTGCTGCTTCAGTAAATCTAGAACTTTGCGGAGGCACGGGGACGTGTGCTGCTTCTTAGTATGGCTCTGAACTGGGAACGTTGCTACTGCACTAACTGGGGGGTCACTCAGAGCAGCAGTCCATCTGCTAGCAAGGCACACTGTTTGTTTATTAGTTGTCGGTGTGGTAGTGCTGTGTACCAGAATGTGCCTTACTGGGTGGTGTATGGGCATGCTTCTCTCCTTTTACATTGATGCAAGTAACCATCAGTAAGAGACTTTACACCAATATGCTTTTTTATTTTTGTTGGTGTGTGATGTAGGTGTTTTTTCCTTCTTCAGAGGAAATCAAGTATACCTGTGCTGTGCATTCTGTAGCAGTCCTCACTCCTGCTATGGGTTTTGGAAGTAGTTCTCCCTATGGAAACTTCCTCATTTGACCTGTTGAGGTGTATTTGTGCTGCCTTCACCTGGTCTGGCAGTTTGGCTAGCAGGATATGCAGCACCACCTCTGCAGGTTGAATTTCCTCTGCAGAATGTTTCCAGTGGTGATCGTAGAAGCTGGTTGGTACTTGGATGCCAGGCTCAACTTGCGATTGGCAGCTGGGACTTGTTTTAAAAAGGGGCCGGGGGAAAGTGCAAAATATTGAAGCAAGATCAGTACAAAACCATTTGGATTACAAATGCAGAGTTGCCTGATGTGTGTCTTACGAGTCCGTTTGGGGGTGGGCACAGGCTTTTTGTGAGCAGCACGTAGATCCTGTTGCAGAGCTGTGAACCATTTTGATTTTTAATGAGCAGAGGAATTGAAGACTTTTCTGGTTTGTTGCACCAGTTGAACGAAATTTCCTCTCAGATATTCGTGCTTTGCCACATGGCAGATTTTTGGCAGTCAGGAAGAGGAAGTTGCAGTGTAAAATTTCTTTTGTGGAATTGTGAACAGTATCTTAAAACGTGTTTCCCTGCAGGCTGGGCTCTGTTGCTTCTGTGTGCATTCTGGGACATTAGTTTCTTTGCTGGTCGTGTGCTTTTTGCTCCAATAGCTCAGTTAAATGTCTCGTGGTGCTTTGCTTGGATCATACTGGAGTTGTACTACTGAAATGCTGCTTTACGCTGTTATTATTGGTACTGTTTTTTAGCTAAGTTAGAAAGTGGAAAACAGTCACTTAATGCAAACCAGATTTCCTATCTGTGTTTGTTTACAGAGCCTCTGGCACACAGCTCGCATGGCTAAAGGGCCATACAAAGCTGCAATCAAAATGTTGTTGTTACATAAATATAATGCTGCCACTTCTTTTGATGTAACAATAGTGAGATTGTCTGGTGACGATTCTGCTCTTTGTTCGTTTCTTCCAAGCGCAATGCTTTCACAGAAAACGAAAGTCTCAATAAATTCAATAAATTTGCGCCTCCCCTCTTTTTTTTTCTTCTCTTTTTTTTTTTTTTTTTTTCCTGTACTTTACCTGTTTTGTTCTCCAAACCTGGAATTTTGGGGATAAGGCAGAATTCTGTTATGGAATTCTTCAGGGAGAAATAGCAGCGCCTCTGATTGCACAGTATTTGATGTTTACCATCTGTACTTTATTAAACCTCATTCTGCATACATAAGCAACATTGGGATGCTACATTGGGGTTGACCTAACCATGTGTGCTATAGTATAGCAGTGCTTTATTGTACAAGTGTAATTAAGTTGTTTAAAGGAGGCTTATTTTCTTGCCAGTAAAGACCAATTTGAAGTGTACAAATGGGAAAGACAAGGAATGCTTAGAAAGACAATAAGTCAGCGCTCAAAAAAAAAAAACCACCAAGAAATCCCATAATTCTAGGGCTTTGGGATGGGGGAGTATTGAATTGTTTCCATTATCCTTATGTTGTTCTTCTTTTCAAAGCTGCATTATTTCATTGGCTCATGTTATGAATTTCATCTGCAAAAAAAGATATTTTCAGGCAACTGAAACAGGAAAAAAATAGTCAGTGCAGTCAGTTTTAAAGGAATTGACTCTTCTGCAGAGCTTCCCTAGAGCCCAGGCAATGAAGACGTAGATTTGTGCAGATTGGGGTTTTTCTATAATACCATTCCCCTTACTTCACAGCAACTCAGATCCCTCGCCTTCTTTCTTGCAGTGTGCCCCAGCTCATGTGGCAAGAGAGCCTGCACAGACCAGAACGAGTGTTGCCATCCTGAGTGCCTGGGGAGCTGCACAGCACCCGACAACAACACTGCTTGCGTGGCCTGTCGCAACTACTACTACGAAGGGGTCTGCATGCCCACCTGCCCTCCCAACACCTACAAGTTCGAGGGCTGGCGCTGCGTGACCAAGGAGTTCTGCTCCAAAGTCCCTGCCACTGAAACAAGTGAATACGAGAGGTTTGTGATTCACAACGATGAGTGCATGGCAGAGTGCCCCTCTGGATTCATACGCAATGGGAGCCAAAGGTAATGCAACTTTCTTCAAGTCCGACACAGTTAGCATGTTTATTCCTCCCTCCCTACTCTGTGGCAGCCTTGTGATGCAAGTTGCTTTTGGTGGAAGAAGTGTTTTGGAATTTCATCACTTCTCAGTAAAGGCTTGCTCAGACATCATTTTAGAAGTCTAATTATGGCCTGTGCACATCAGTTCATGCTGCTTGTTCTGAAAGACTTCAGGAGGTCAGAACAGTGCAAACCCAGGTTTTGAACAAAAGAAAGTGAGAGCCAAGGAAGACAGGGCTGGAGATTGGCAGATTACCGTTGTCACGCTCACAGCAAGCTAGGAGCTGTCTTGTTTCACATGTTATTTGCTTTATGTATACTTACATTTTAGACATGTGTTCTTTAGTAACTTTATTTCCTTTTTTTCACTCTTTCCAGAAAATAGCAATGATGTTTTAGAAGAGAACAATGGTAAAATTGGTTACAAAAATGATGCAGATAACATTACACAGAATAAATTTCTGGAAGGATGTAACTCACCTCCACTTATTTCATTCTGACAGTTGGACTGATGTGTACTGAACACTTTCTTATTTTACTTGGGGTTAAGCTAACAGCTTCAGTTGCCTGCTGACCCAAACCTCTATAAATAAGGGAGGGTGCTTCAGTGCTATGCTAAACAGATGCCCTTTTAAGTTGCTGTAAGATACAGGTTTTTGGAAAGATGGTTGTGATGGTACCTGCACTGGCTGTGTGTCTGTGCATGGCATTCATCTGTTCACTCAAGCAGCAAGGCAGTCCCTGGTTCACATTAAGTTGTAAGCAACTTAACACTGTGTTTGCTCAAAGCCCAGTCAGTATTCACCAGAGAAATCTTTCACTTATCTACCTGAGGTTGTAGTCCCAGCTGTTTGAGCTGCTTACGCTGAAGTGCATGACAGTTCTATCTTATCTCAGTGTAGCGCTCAGCTGCAGAGATTGGAAGGAGCTGTAACCCAAGGCCAGAGAATGTTTTCTTCCCCAGAGGTGATGTTAACAAATAGTTGCAAATGGAAAGCATTTCCCGCATTCTTTGTACATTTAGTTGAATGCCTCTTGCTTGTGTCTGTAGCTTTTAGTGGTCTGTGGCATGCTACAGTGCAGGATTTTGAAATAGGACCTTACCAGTAAGAAAAGGAAGCTTCCTTCGTTATACTGTGCACACGAAAAATGGCTGCTATCAATTTACATGTTTCTTTAAGCCTTAGAAGAAAGTGGACTCAGTTTCTTTTTAAGGTAATAAATAATAAGTCTGTGGTCATCACTGTTGGCATCAAAAGCTTTTGTCTTTGGAGCTCTTTCTCTTTTTCCCCTCTAAAGCAATAATGTAGGGTGAGTGGTAATGAAATCCAATTTATTCCAGTATTTTCATTAGTGAGATCAAAACCAAATTTGCATCAGGAAATTTGTACCAGGAGTGATCAGAAGGCATGTTTTTTCCACATGTGTTTAATGGCACAGTCTATATGAAGCTGCAGTAGCCAAAGGCTAGGCTAGCCTGCAATCTTGCTCCTTGAGTTTGGCCTGTTAAAATGTTTATAGATGTCTGTGAGTATGGGAAGCAGGACACATCAGCCTGACAGTCAGGTTTCTCTGAGTTAGGCTATGCCTATCTTGATGTTTTATGGTCACAGGTGTACCTGTTCTTTCTTAATTTGTGTAATCCATTTTGGATCTGTTTAGACTTCTTGTCTGCCTCTCCCAGTCCTTTGCAGTGAGTTACACAAATTAGTTTTGTCTTGCATGAAGGTGCATCTTTTTGTTTGTTTGAACTTGCTACTTTAATACCTCTGACGCTGTAAGAAACAGTGACTAATTCACTGCTCACTTTCTCTGTGTCACTCAGGACTGTATACACCCACAGCTGTCTTTCCCAGGTTAAAACACTAGGGTTGGTCTTGAAATGCTGGTTTGAGGACGTGGAGAAAGAGAACTTCATAGAATTTGTAACAGTACTTGCCCATCTCCAGTTCCTAGCTGGCCTATTTTTGGAGGTTAAGTCTAAATTAGCTCAAAACTTCCATAGCACTTGATGCTTGTGTAGGTTAGAAGGGTCATCTTTGTGGTTATAATGAAGCTGGAGTAAATGAAACAGTGGTGTTTTTTACCTGAAGTGCCTTCTGCTCAGGGTAACAGAGCCTTTAAGAAATTGGCGAGCAGCAGGTAGGAGTCCATTCGATTGCTCCCATGGTGCTGTGGACAGGAGGTGTGATGTGCCAGCCTCTCTTGGGTCCTACAAGTGTGTTGTTATGCTTACCTATAAGTCTCTGCACTAGTGTGGTAACTCTCATTGTGGGCTGATGCATTTTCCTGAGCTTCATATAGAAATGTCTTTCAAAATGAAATTGAAAGCAGTCTGTGGAATCTGAGCTGTGTATCACTGCTTATTTTCTGTTTCCTTTTCTTTCCAAACAGTATGTTCTGCAGCCCTTGTGAGGGGCCTTGCCCCAAAATTTGTGAGGATGGGAAAACGAAGACCATTGACTCTGTCACATCAGCACAAATGTTGCAGGGATGCACGATTCTCAAGGGCAATTTGCTGATCAACATCCGTCGTGGAAGTAAGTGACTTCCCTGCCTTTACAAACCTCTGATGAGACTGCTTTTAATATTTTTCTTTTGTCAGCGTAATAACAGGAACATAAAAAAGCCATGACTTGTTTGTTTTCCTGTCAGATAGCAGTGCTCCTGTTTGGGTTGGCCCACTTGTAGCACCATTCTCCAACGTGCAGATGGAATAGGTAGTCAGTTACCAACCATGAAGCAGGGAAAGCTGGTATTTTCTTTAGCTTTTCTCAGCAGGGCAAGGAACCAGGAGGCACCAGGACTAGGAAGGGAGATGAGAAATAGTCCCAAAGGAGTAATAAAGCCTTAACAAAGTGAGAAAGTGGAAAGTCCTTGTATCTGGGTAGATAAATAAGAGGGAGTGGCACTGGAAGATGGAATAGCCTCAGTTTCTAAGGTAGGAGGTGTCGTCTTGCTAAAATTTGCAATCAGTTGCTCCAGAAGCTCATACAAAGCCCAGCACTGTGCCTTTGGATGGTCCTCCTTAGTGAGCTGGCCAGTCTTTGTTGCATGTCTTGAACAAGCTCTGGATTAAATTTGTCAGGGATGTCATTAGTTGGTCAGGGAAGTGCTGAGAGTTGGTGAGCTTTTAAAGAAATACACAGTAAAAATCGCTGTTAGTTTTTGTTGGAAGTCTGTCTCTGTATGGAAGGGGCTTTTTGCTTTTTCATGAATATGGTTGGAACCTTCAGATATATTTGATTCCCTTCCTTCTGCTTAATGAAAATTATGGGGTTTTGAAACAGCAGTATGTGCGTTACTTCACTCATGGTTCCACTGTTGCTAGTAGAGTCTGCATCAGGAGAGATTTTCAGTATAACTGGAGCAAATACGTGCAGAGGGGGGATGTTGTGGCTTACTTATTATCTAAGTGTGTTGAAGATCGTGACACCACACGACGACTGCAATCCTTGAGCCTGGTGAAGGGTGAAGGGTGGGATTTTGCAGAGCTTGGAAAGGACAGCTCACGTCCTAGGGAAATGGAGTGCTGAAGGTTGGAGCTAGCTCTGGAGAAGTTTAAATAAGTTAATGTGGAAAATCACTAGTGTGATGCTGCACAGAGCATGGTCTGTGGCATGACGACATCCTTATAGTTTTGTCTTCCTTGTTTCATGGAGTTCCAAGTTTGATGGGCAAAGTTTTCTAAGCCACCAAAATCAGTGTTTTATGCCCCATTGGAGACCATTAGCACACTTCTCTACCTCCTCACATTTGTCTTCAGTCTCATTCTCCATTCTCCAGTGGTGGTTTCTGCCTGAGCCTTGCTCTGGACCTGAAGAGCAATTCCATTGAATTCCATTCCATGGATGTATGCATTTAGGCAAGGGTCTTCAGCTTGACCAGAGCACTGGCTCAGTATTTGGTGCTGTCTTCAGAGCGCAGTGTCTGGGGAAGAAACATAGATAACAATACAGAAAAGCAAGAGTGTCTTCACAGCATTGCTCTGCCTTGGTTTTTGTCCTCCAGCCATCTGTCTGCTCAGTTAACTGCCACTTTAGGAGGAATACCATTGTCTGTCATTTTCAAAAGCAACAAATGCAGACTAAAATGCAAACTTTTACTAAAATGGTGCTGAGTAAAGTAGAATATTGAACGAAGTTATGGATTTTAGAGTAATAAAACCCTGTTTTTTCTTAATGTAGATAACATAGCTTCAGAACTGGAGAATTTCATGGGTCTGATTGAGACAGTGACAGGGTATGTGAAGATTCGCCATTCCCATGCACTGGTTTCTCTGTCTTTCTTGAAGAACCTGCGGTATATTTTGGGAGAGGAACAGGTGGATGGGTAAGTGTTTATACATTTGTAGGTGCAATTTAACTTTTAACACAAAGCCACAAGAGGCTGAGTCTCCTAATGAACATTCGTGTACTGTTAGACAATTACCTCTTCTGCTAATATCTGGTAATACATGTCACTAATGGGGGATTGCACTGGAAGAGACTCCACTGGTATGGAGTCCACTTAGTTTGTAAGTTGTGATTGTTTGCAGTTCCTTAAAATGTTAACATTAAATTAATTGTCTATCAAGCAGAAAGCAGCTTGGTCAGGAAGAGTAAATTCGATCCCCCAGAAATGGTTGCTGTGGGTTATTCTGTTTCTGTAATGCATATACGATGTGTGACACTTCTGCTGCTCCGCAGTTACAGTTGTATGCAGCTCCTGTTTCTCTATGATGGCACAGGTAGCAGAAACAAAAGCTTTCAACCTCCACAGAACTTGCAGTGCTCAGGTTTGTTGATGTTCCTTCAGCAAGCTGTGTTTCTCCTTCTCTCCCTGAATCAAGTTTCAGTTCAAGTTTAAACCAATATTCTGTGGGAAAAGTTAAGTCTCTGTCAGTAATGAGAGAATTATTAAACAAAGAATTTTATAATTGTATAGGAAAAGGTAGTGGGAAGGTCATGGGAAAGGTTGCTTATGCCTGGTTTATCTGCCCTGACAGGATAAAGTTACAGCATGAGAGATTCTTCTCAACTTCCCTGCTTCTGTCAGACTAGTCTTTGGTCAGCCTTAAATTCTTCAAATTCCATCATCTGACAGAGCAAGTTAAAGGGCAGCTCTTCATCTTGCACTTGCAAAACACAGGTTTTTTTCAGTAAGATTGTTTGTTCTATGGAAAAGCTTGTTTCTAATTGCAAATCCTAGAGGCTTGTCACTCTGAGCACATTCAGCCACGCATGATGCTCTGTGCTCTAACAGATACTCCAGTTATCTGTTTGTCTTTTCTCCTACCTCTGTTCTCCCTCTCTTGCACTCCTTAAATTTGAGTTCAGCTTTGAGGTTTAAGTAGTATATATTGCTGTTACCTTGGATGTCGGTAAGCAGATACCAGCAGAGCTGATATGAAGAGGAATGACAGGCTTTAAAATCTGATTCCCGACTAGAAAAGGAAATGGTGCAGCTTTGAAGAGGAAAATAGGGCTGAGGGAAGTTAGGAAGTGGCTCCATTTGCATACTGATGTCAGGGGCGCTTTGCCTGGAGAATGCCTAGCGTAATTTAGGCATTGCCACAATCTAAATAGCATTTCCAAAAATATTTGGGTGAAAGTAGACACCTGGCAAGGAGGAAGTGAGCTTGAAGTAGGACTTTGGCAGAGCTGTGAACATCAGGGAGTGGGGCAGTCCTGGGGGGAAGTACCGTTGTACTCAGACAGTAGTTTATGGGAGTGCTGCCTTCAGGGGTGAGAAGGAGGTTAAATTAAGAACCATTATGGGAGTTGTTCATTACATGACTGACCCCGTTGCACTGTTGTTTTTTTTTTTATTGAACAGGAGTAGCAAAACAGTACTTCAGTATTTCTTCCTTACTCAGTCGCTGTTGCCTGCCTTGTTTGTTACAGAACGTGGGAAGATTACAGAGAATTTAATTTCTGCAGTTGTTTTCAGGATGTTCATTACCTCTCTTGAACACCACATCAGTAGGGAATGCATTCCCATAACAAAAAAAAATTCCCCTCTGTGTATAGGGAAACTGAACTGGAGATGTGCTGGAAGGGTCTCTGTGTTCCCTGCAGGATTTTCATTCATAGTCTGGTGCTGGTTCTGCCTGACCATCCTGTTCTCTGCTGAGTGCTGTGTTCTCATTTCTGCCCTGTGAGTGAGTGGCACTTGGGCAGCACTTCTTCAAGTGTTGGCTACCTGGAACACAAGTAATTTGTGGCCTTAAGGAGAAGTAAGAAGACGATGGCCGGGGCACAACTGCTCCCTGTCATGTTATTGTGTACATATTTGGCTTTGTTACCATCAGGTTCTCTTCGGTGATCAGGGCCACATAGGTGTGGAACGCATGCCAAGTTAATAGGCAGCTTCTTAGCTGATGTTTTGTATGTGTAAAGCAGTAAGCATTTTCCTTTTTGCTCTCATATTGGCTGATGTTCCAGCTGGCCTAGCGGGATTTCTTTTTCTCTTCATTGTAGCACTGAGAGATGAACAGCTTTTCTGTGTGTCTTACAGGTCACTTACAGGTCACTGTCTTACAGGCAGACTCTGTCTGCCACTAGCCTGGTCTTCTGTAGCCAGGATATCCATTGCAGCCATTCACAGTCCTTTACCAGTTCTTGTTCCCATTTTGGTGCAAGTCACTTCTCTACACGTTAACATTGTGTTAACCCCTTCAGCAGCAAACTTACCTGGTCATTACTTTCTTCCCAGAGCTTTTGGTGTCATATATGCTGTGAATGGGGATAAAAGGTGATTGAAAGCTTGTTATGTAGAACTCTTCTTTACCAGTATCTCCTCTCGCTGTAGGTGTAGTGTTCTGCATCATTGCTTTATGCTGTGTGTGTGTGGATAGATGCAGCACTGTGTGCAGATACAGTGTGAAACAGGTTTCTGATGATGCAGTCAATAATTAAGTAGCTCTGGGTGCTCTGCAGTTGGGGTATGCGTCACCTTGTGGGAATGCTCTCCTGTGGGTGTGTGGGTTATGCAGGTTGACTTGAGGCTCTTTATGGCACAGCCTGGCACCAGATGTGCCTCCTGCTCCTGTTCAGAGGTTCAGCCTGTCCTTCAAGTCATGGTCTCCAGTCATTTACACTGATAGTCTCTCAAGGGTTTGAGTAGCAGTGCTTTGTTTTCCTACACTGAATCTTCTATTCTTTCCATGCTATCTTCCTTGAAATCTCTATTTTTTCCACAGCTGTTGGAGTCAGTGTCTGATATAATCATTATTTACAACCCAAGCCCTAAGTGCCCTCCCATTGCCCGCTGCTCTACCTTCTGAGCCATGCAGCATTGCACCTCTCCTGTGCCTGGATCTGGGTTTAGCATTCCAGATTTGGTTTCCTTGGCACTTTGTGTGGTGCCAGAATAACTTCCACTAATTTATAGTCACAGTGTATATAGGATCCCTTTGGACTTGTTTGCCTCGCCTCAGACTGCTGCTCAAACTTGTGTGGATGCCTCTAGAAGTACAATCCATAGAAATCCCAGACTGTCCCAGTCAGCGTGCAGTTGTGTAAAGCACCCATGTGTACTTGATTTGCCCCGTTTATTCGACTCTTGAAATGCAAGTTATTTGTCATGCTTCAGTACAAGAATGATCTCTTGTGTCTGAAGCATTATTGCCACAGTCGTGAGCAGGAGACAGGTAGGCTGTTATTAAATATTTAAGATGGTTTCTGTAGCCATAGAGCCACACCTGTTTATTGCGGTAAGTCTGAGTCCAGCTTTTTGGGTCTTTGCTGAAAAGCTTAGTTGCCGTTGCTTAATCACACAGCTAATTATAGTGAAGTGTCATCTTCTGAGCAGAGCACAAGGAGCTGCAGGGATTTTAGTCATCTGTAACAAATAAACACACTTTCCAGTGGTATCTGTTGAATCTCACATGCAGGGTAACACCACTGTTTTCTCCTGGCAAGAAGCATTTGACATGCAAGTATGTACTCCCTTTTCAACTGTTAGTCACCAGAGCACATTCTTCTCAGCATCCTACTGCAATAGTTCCAGTGTATCACTTTTCTTAGTGACCAAGCCCTGGATATTTAGGGGGCACTTGGAAATAGGACAAAGCCCTTCTCTTTCACATCGCTCTCAAAATACTCTGAGCATTTTGGTGTGTCATGAGAAACTGCAGCTGTGTTCTGTGCAGGCTGCAACCAGAGTGCATTCTCACTTCAGGTTGGGTGAGGGAGGAATGAATGCTAAGTTTTACTTGAAACAGTGGAAAGAAAACCATAAATGAGTCTCTAGTGTGCCAGCTTCTTGTGAGCAGAGTGGTTTGTCTGCCATGTTATTCTGGCTAACTCTGACTGCAGTTGAAAGGATGTGTAGGATTTGTAGGTTTAACCGTGCTGATAGGAGCTTACCGAGGTAAAATGACATGCACAGGTTGCAGGGATTTATCGTGCTAATCATCGATTGCATGTTGATGTCTACCAACTTCTGTTGGTAGGACGTCCCGAAAATAATGTAATAAATACTGACAGAATAGGTTCTTTTGATTTAAATCCATCAGCAAACCTTTAACTCATTTCCTAATTGTGCATTCCTGTCTCTGTCATCCCAAAATGTGTTTTTGCAGGTGTTGTCTTACTGCTGGTGTGCAGCCTGTTGTCTTGCTTTGGCTGCACCTGTTTTTTTCAGTTCAGCACAGTTGAGTGGCACCAAGAATTTCTTCTTACTGTGTGATAGGATTTACAGAAACAACTTTGCATCTAATGTCTGTGGAAATAAAGGATGCTCATGTTTTTCCCCTGCTGTGCTTCGGGAATGGGCTCAGCACGTGCTGCCACAGCCTGTGTTATTAGCTCTGCACTTTGAAGTGTGGGTCCTGTGCTGTGCAGTCCATGCAACTCTTCTCTGTCAGTTTTGATGTATAGGCACAACTGTACTTGGCACAGCGCAGGAAGCCTCTACTGGGCCAAAAGGTAAACTAAGACACAGAGGCAAGGAAGCTTCACTATGCAAACTCTTGCAGTTGCTTTTGTAAACATAAGCAAGACAGCTGTGTTCACCATTTTATTTATTGTCAGAACTGCAGCTTGCTTTCCTTCCCATAAGGTATACAAGGTCATTACTTCCTATCTGGCACAAAAAGGAAAATCTATTGTAGAGATCTGCCGTCCAGAGGACATGAATTTGTATTCCTTCCAGCAGCTTGCATATTCATCCATGATTAAAACATATGTTGGAGCAGGCTTTACACAATGTGGTGTCAGCCTTGGGGTCCTCTGTTAGTCATTTGCCTGCCCTCTGACCAAAGTGAGCAGTCAGAAAAACGTGCTCCATGGGAGAGAAGAAAATCATTTACTCTGCTGAATACCAATTTAAATTAATGAGAGGAAGTACAGAATTTTAAAGTTTGCGTATATGAAGATGCTCTTCATGGGAATTGGTGATGAATTAAAACTGATGTTTTCCTTCAAAAACTTTCTTCTAGGAATTATTCTTTTTATGTGCTTGATAACCACAATCTGCAGCAGCTGTGGGACTGGAACCATCACAATTTGACGATCAAGGAGGGGAAAATGTACTTTGCATTTAATCCTAAGTTGTGCGTTTCTGAGATCTACCGTATGGAGGAAGTTTCAGGAACCAAAGGGCGGCAGAGCAAAGGAGATATAAATCCGAGGAACAATGGGGAGAGAGCCTCTTGTAAGTTTCAAAACAAAATGAAAAGCCATTCACCACATGGCCGTGTTATTGACTGTTACAACATGTAGAGGTTAGGAACTATGCTAGGCTTTCAGTCATTCTGCTTGATTGTTTTGTGCAAATGTAGCTGAAAGTCTGTTTGTATTGGTGGAAAACTGAGGTTACATAGTCACTGCATCATCTATAAAAACTGATAAAGAAACCTGCCTTCAGAATACTGTTTTGTAACAACAGCATCCTATATCAACAAGAACAGAGTCAGTAAAATCTTGGGTTTTGGTATGGCCAATGAAGAGCAGTTGCTCTGTTTCCTTTGCGGATTTACATAATTATTGGTATTTTTCTCTCTGAGATGTATATACTCTTTTTGTTATTAAGGAAGCTGCCTACATAACAATTTCACAGACTCTAAAATACCTTTTGTGTTACTTCTGAGCTTCTTTTCAGCTCCTGCCGAATATTGCATTTTGTTACTAGAAGAGCTTGTTGCACGCTCAATTTTTTTGTGCTTTATTTTTCAGATTGCTTTTGATTTGCAAACTATTTTTAGTGTCCTACAGTGTGCTTAAACTTCAGTGTCTGTATTTAATTTTGGATTCTGCAATGTTCTTGATGTCAAAGTTATTGGAAAGTCTTGTGTAGGCTTTGTGGAGTTCACATAAGGTCTCCAGGTGTAACCAGCACATTTACAAGCAATCTCTCTTGTAGGAATTAAGAAGACAGAATGCTTACAGTTTTGACCTCACACTCAGACTCTTAGAACTGATGGTGCATTTTTCTTTGGTCTGTTTGTGGTGCTCTTGGAGCTGAGTAAATTAAAACGTATCCTGTGTATAAGTCAAGTCCCCTTGTTCAGGATGGTATTCACAAAACTAGGGCACGTACTCTGCTGAATGTCTCTTTAGGCACGATGCATAAATGCAGATGGCATAGATCCTTGTTGTAAGTACACTCCATTCTTTGCACATTCAATAAAGCAAAGGCTTGCAGTCCTGGAGGAGTTACAGACACACAGTCAGTCCTTACTACCACTGAGGCAAGTGCCAGCCTCTGCCTGTTTAAAAAAAAACAAAACGTTACAGAAAGCTTTCTGACTCTGAAAAGGGGAAAAGAATCAACAAAAGCTAAACTGCCTTTAAAAGATAGCACCAACAGTGCCAGTGTACATGAGGGTGAAACCCCCTTTATTTTTGGAGACTTGTATGAAACATTAGAAACTGCCACACAGTTGATGCTTACAACTCAGTTTCTTCATCCAAGTATTAAGTTTTTAAAATGCTATTTTATTTTGGATTGGAAAACTCTGACTTGGTAGTGGGAAGCCACTCATTTCAAAGCTGCCAACTTCCATCCAGCTCTGTTCAGAAGAGGAGCTGGAAGCTGCTGCCATCAAATGGTTGTGCAGTATATGATCTGAGTTTTGGAGGTTTTGGTCCAGCCTGTAATGACTAAGAATATAAACTTCTTTCTCCTTTCTATCTTGTTTATTCTTCTGAAAGACGAGTTGTAATTGCCTAAAACTGTCTCAGAAAGTGAGAATATGGAGGCCACTTATATCTCTGCCTTTGCATTGCAATTGGATGGTGAATTTAGTGCTATTAAACCCATCCTGTGAATAAACAGGACTTCGATTTCTCATTCAGGGAAAGGCTGAAGTAGTTTTCAAGAGCTTCTGGTGGTGCACTAAAAGGAAATGTGCTTCAAAAAATAAAACCCTAAGGAACAAGTAGCTTCAGTATACACTGCAGTGATTTCCAAGGCCAGGCCAGTGCTTACCCCTAAGCACTCGAAATATGGTACCATGAAATACTAAGGTATAAGGAAACAAAGGCTGCCTGCATATTGTGCTATCATAGGCATTGCAGGAAAGACTAATTAGCAAAAACTGGCACATTAGAAAAAGCAATAACTGTTAAGCTAAACAATCAGGCAGTACAGTGATGACTCAGCCCTGTGATGTCTTTCTGTGTTGCAGGTGAAAGCCACATTCTGCGTTTTGTTTCCAACACAACATTGAAGAATCGGATTAAGCTGACGTGGGAACGGTATCGCCCTCCAGATTACAGAGATCTCATTAGCTTCACTGTTTACTACAAAGAAGCGTGAGTAGATATCTTCAGAGACTAATGGAGACAGTCAAGGGATAGTAGGCAGTTTTCTTCTGACTGTCATTTTACTGAGACAAGATAGTCAGCAAAACTCCTTCAGGTAGTTCCTACTTCACAGTTTACATATTTCATTCAGTTTACGTAATTCATTCTCACATCCTGCCTTCATTTGCTTTCTATACTTGGTTGAGTAAAAAAACCCTTTAAAATGAGGATTATATTGCCTGAAGACTATAAATGGATTCCAAATCCATTGGGTGGTTTCATATTTGGGAAAATGAGTTGGATGGCTTCAGTATTCTCAGGGCACTAATTTGGAGCTAAGTCGTACTGTTGTTTCTGCTGAGATATTCTCTAATCATAGCTCTAAGAGGACGTCACGTATCAGGAGTTTTACCTGCCACCTCGATGACTTGTCTTACTCAGTATTTGAAGTTATTTAGATTTCTCAACCTCATTAATTTTCTGCATTAGTATCTCTTGAAGTAGGAAGCAGTTACTGGAGGGAGCATAATTTCTTCAGAGATCTATCTACCTTTGCATATCTTTGTAAGAGCTCAGATTTAAAGTAGTCAAAATACAAATGAATACATTAATAACTCTGTAAGCAGTTGGGGGGGGTGGGGTGAAGGGGAGGTTCAGAATGGTGTTAGGTGCAAGGCTAAGGTGAGACAACATTGAAGTGAGGTACTTGCATAAGTGTATGACAGTTTTTAGGAGAAAATAAATATCTTGCACTTTTTTTCCCCCAATGTTTCAGGCCGTTCAAAAATGTGACAGAGTATGATGGACAGGATGCGTGCGGCTCCAATAGCTGGAATATGGTCGATGTTGACCTGCCACCAAACAAGGAGAATGACCCTGGAATTTTACTGCAGGGATTAAAACCTTGGACTCAGTACGCGATTTATGTCAAGGCTGTTACCCTCACAATGATGGAAAACCATCACATTCATGGAGCAAAAAGTGAAATTGTGTATATACGAACCAATGCTGCAGGTAAGATCCTCGTCCCTTGGTGAAGAGCTGGTAAGACTTTAGGTATGCTTATTATCTGGGATTTACTTTAAAAGCATCCAAATACACTGTAGTATGTGCTGGGTTTAAAGTGCCTTCATTTTCTTTTTCCCTGCCAGTGCCATCCATTCCCTTGGATGTTATTTCAGCATCCAACTCCTCTTCACAGCTGATTGTCAAATGGAATCCTCCCTCTCTTCCCAATGGCAACCTCTCATATTATATTGTACGATGGCAGCAGCAGCCTCAGGACAGTTACCTTTACAGACACAATTACTGCTCCAAAGGTAGGCTAACTGAACAAAGTTTTGAAATGCCAGTAACTCTTACCTGTCAGGGTAGATTACTTACAAGGGCTAGAGCTTGTGCCGTGCTTCACAGTACTTTTGTGAATAACTACAAGTATACAGGAATGTGCAAATGTGAATAGTTAACGTGTTTGTAACACAGAGGGAAAAGCAATAAGCTGCCTTTTTTCCTTTTAAGATAAAGTCCCAATTCGAAGATATGCTGATGGGACCATTGATACAGAAGAAGCTACTGAACCTACCAAGCCAGAGGGCTGTGGGGGAGAAAAAGGACCTTGTTGTGCTTGTCCCAAGACAGAGGCAGAAAAACAAGCTGAGAAGGAGGAAGCAGAGTACCGGAAAGTCTTTGAGAACTTCCTTCACAACTCCATCTTTGTCCCCAGGTAATGGTCTTCAGCTCATTGCATTTTTTTAAAAGATATTTCCTAGAGCTCAGGCTTCCTGAATGAGAAAGAATATGTAGGTAATACCTAAAATGTGTCAGTGTTGTTTCTCAGTATATGTGAGACAGTCTGCAGTCTTTTTACTTTGCGGTTTCTCTTAGTTGCAGATTTTCATCCCACTCTCTCAATTTTAGCTAGTAGTGAGAATTCTTACCTATATTGTTCAAAGACTTCAGTGATGGCTTATTTTCGGAGTCAAGAGTCACTTGAGCAGCTCTTTGTCTCTGAGAGTTTCAGAGATGAGCAACACGTGGCAAATGAAGGATTTCAAATGTAATCTTTAAATAGCCATTTAAGTGCTTGTGTTCCCAATCTGAAGATTTATTTGCCTTTGAAATTTGCAGACATGTTCACCTTGCAGAAATGAAACTGGTCTTGCTTTCTCACTGCACTTATTATAGTGGCCATACTGGTTTCCTGGGTCTATCCTGCAGAGAAGTATTTAATGTACCCACTCTTCTGTTTCTGTTACAAACATTACTGCTTCCACACCACACGGAATGGTAATTTATGCTACATCCTAGAATAGATACTACTGAATGAATTGATGATTTTGATCCTTGAGTTTCTTATTTATCTTTTATGTAAGCTGGTCTTTGGGTAATTGGACCCTGGAGCCTAGCACACGGTATGCAGCTGTTTAACATGTTGCAGTTTCTGTAAGGAATCAGTTTTCAGTCATGCATGCTATCTATTGTCACTGTTGACAGGTTAAGTTTATGTTCCAGCTCTGTGTTTGAGTACTCTGAAGTGTGGCTCTGTTGCTCATTGAAACTGGGTTATATTACTCTCCAGTATAATTTTATCTTTTTTTTTTTTTTGGAACTTTTATTCAAGGCAGTTTTGGATTGGCCTGTTTGGTTTTGGGACAATATTTGCAGCTCTTCTTAGCTTTGTCTGAAAAAATGAGGAAATAAGTACTGTCTTTCTTTGGAGGTGCTAACTACTGTGCCTGAGCTTTGGCTGGTTCACATTTAGTGTTTGTGGGTGAATTTATGCAGTGTTTTGTTACTGATGATAAGAACCAGCTGCAAAGATAACATAGCAGCCACCATGACTGCCCAGGTCCCCCTGTGCAATGTGAGATGGTACAAATGTGAGCTTATTTTGGATTTTATGAAATAGGAAGGAGTTTTGAAAGGCATTTTTAAGTTATAAACTACCTGAAAATCTATCAAAGCAGCATTTACAAAAGATTATTTTTATTTCAGTAAAATCCGGTCGTCTAAAACGTGTTGTTTTTCTTGCCAATTTGCTTGCATTTCCCAAAACAAAAGGAAAATCTCAGAACTTTCAACTCTGACAGTCAGTTCACAAAGAATTTCCTGAAAGCTTGACTGTTTCCCCTTTTGCTTAACTTGATGCCATAAGGGTGTGTTTTGTAACAGCAAGGGTAGATAAAGTATAATGTTCAGAAATAGCTGCATAGCTAAGCAACTTTAGATGTTATGTTAGGGAAATTACAGATTATGAGCTAGTAAAATATCTCTGTGGGACAAATCTAAGCAGCTTGTTACCTGCTGATGTCCATGGTTTTGTTTTTTTTTTTTCCAAAGGGAGAAGTTATTCAATGTGTTAATGTAAACCTCAATAGTGGTATTTGTTTGCAGTGTTCTACCTGTCTCCAGGATATTGTGAAAGAAATGCAGCACGTAATACTGCATTAAAATATTCAACTGTGTGGTTTTAAGTTTGCTTGAAGTCTGTTGATCTAATATTGTGTGCAGTTCTTGGATGAGTGTGGTTATTGTAGTCATGAAGTAGATTTCAAACGTTAGGACTCTGGTCAGTCTTGAACAGATGCTCATGACCACAGGATGAAAAGTTATTCATGAGGTTCCTTAGTTCTGTAATGAGCAGAATGAGATGCATGCTGTTTGTAATAGAAGGTATCTCAGAAGTAATTACAAAGTTGTCATAGAGTATAAGAAGTCCAGGGCGACCTCATTGTGGCCTTCCAGTACTTGAAGGAAGCATATAAACAGGAGGGGAACAGCTGTTTACGAGGGTGGATAATGATAGGACAAGGGGGAATGGTTTTAAACTGAGACTTAGGTCAGATGTTAGGAGGAAGTTTTTCACTCAGATGGTGGGGAGGCACTGGAACAGGTTGCCCAAGGAGGCTGTGGATGCCCCATCCCTGCAGGCATTCAAGGCCAGGCTGGATGTGGCTCTGGGCAGCCTGGGCTGCTGGTTGGCGACCCTGCACATAGCAGGGGGTTGGAACTGGATGATCATTGTGATCCTTTGCAACCCAGGCCATTCTATGATTCTGTGAACAGTTAGCTTGCATTTTAAATGGCTTTTGTTTTTTTTTTTTACTGACGTCAATTTGATTTCATTTTTACAAAGTCCTATTTTTCTCCCTTCCTTTAACAGAATAGATAAATTTTCATGTTTTTATCTCCTGCCTTTTCCTTGTTTTCTTGGTCTTTTGCTCTTTTGTCTTTATCTGTTCCTTTCACTGGAGCAGGAAACTGCTTGACAGCAAAGCAGTAGTGTCCAATCTCTTGATATTTTAATCACATTTTCCTTTGTTTTTCTGTAGGTCTTTTTCTCTCCATTATATGACTATAGTTTTTACCACCAAATTTAGTGTTGCTTTCTCTTTATTTCTTCCCAAAAACCAGTTAGGACTGTACTTTTTTTCAGATACCACTGAAGAGTGAAATATCTTGTATCCCATAAAGGTGATGGATTAAGGCATGCTTTCTGGGTTCATACTTTAATTTGTGCTTTTGTTGACTGGAAACAAGCTTTGTATTTTTACTGCTTTTATCACAGAATTTGTGCAGGTGGTTGGTGGAGGTCATTCCATGTGTTTGTAGGTCTTGAAAAGTTTTTTCTTCCCTCTGAATTAAAGAGTCAATGGGTGCTCTTCCAAAGCAAGCTAAATAGGATTTAGTAACTTCCATGAATATCACTGTAGAGGAGAAGCAAATGCTTACATCTCCTGTTAAATACACATCCCACCGACAAGAAATTACATTGGCTTGTATGTTTTTTAAAGCAATTTATTGGTAACTTAAGCTTCTTTCTAGTCTTTATTTCTGTGCTGTGGTTTACATGGCAGCTGAGAGTGTCAGAACGATTCCTCAAGACACAGGAAAAGGATTTTGGAAAATTTCATAGGCAACTCCTAAAAAAATGAGTGCATCCACAGCCAGATTTCAAAATCAAGTCAGGCTCTTTTTGGCTTACTCTGCAGCATGCTGCTTTGTGACTGAATGTTCTGAATTTCGTCAGGTAGTGAAGTAATTTCTCCTGTTGCATCAGCTTATTCCCATTGTGTGCTTGGGGAAGACATTACGCACCTGATCTGCAGCTTACTCTGGTAGGAATGTGGTAGACTTCACCTTTGTTACTGAGATCCATTGCACTGACCAGGTGCTAAAGGGTGGCAGGTGGGGCAGGATGCAGGCCAATGAATTGCCCTGGTGCACTGCTATCTGTGTGTGAGCAGTGCAGGTGACTTCAGTGAGGAGGAAAGTGGGAGGTGGAGAAACTCTCCTGCCTACGTAGTTAGTGCTTATGGGCAAAACAGGCAAGGATTTGACACATGATCAAGTGACATGTCTTATTTAGCAGTTGTGTGTTGGTTAGCTCATACCAGCAAAACATTTGTAGGATATTTTTATACTGATGTTTGTCATGCCGCTGCTTGGCCATTATAGTTGTTCCTTAGACCTGAGAAAGTAGTAGCATTGCTGTAAATCCTCACGTTTTTAATTCAGTGCACAAATCTCATATAGATGCAAAGCAAAGTTGAACTCTTTGCTGTACACAAAATTAGTGCTGCATTTTCTCATTTAGGAAGATTGTTCCTTTACAGCGGGTAAGAGAAACAGAGATGCACAAATGACCACGCAGTGATGGTGATTGACTTTCATGGCTTTCAGCTGCCATCCAATGCACCTTTCAGTCCGGTGCATTCAAAGTTCTGCAGTTCCATTGCAACTGAAAAGACCAACGAGTTAAGCCCACTGAGAGTTAGCTTTGCTACTTGAGCAAACTTCAGAATGTTTTTTCCCTAACCTTTTAAGCCTTTGCCATCTTGATTTTTATTTTAAGCTTCAACATTGTTGTTGTTAAATACAAATCCAGTTTGCTTTTTAAATAACAGAATAACTGTCTTTGCTATTCAGTTTATCATGCCAGCACCAGGGTGGTCATAAGTTTGCACATGTATCATGAGGCTTGCTTTCGGCTTCAGAGATGGATTTCCAACCAAAAGAGAGCAATAGGATGTACTGATGCACTGCAGGTTCAGCTAAAGAGTGAGCTGTTTGCTTGCCGTGCAGTATTGTTTATTTAGCTTTTCTTCTTAATAGCACTTACCTATTTTACTGTGTTTCTTCACCAGTTTTCCTGAACCTAGAGGAAAAGTGAATTTTCTCTAACGAGGCCTTTTTCCTGTATTTGCTCCACAGACCTGATCGGAAGCGGAGGGATGTGTTCCGAATTGCAAACGCCACTTTGGCCACTCGAAATAGGAACACAACTGGGGCAGATCATTTCACCAATGTTTCTGACGCAGAGGAGAGTGAGGTGGAATACCCGTTCTTTGAGACCAAAGTGGATGGCAAGGAGAGAACTGTGATCTCCCATCTCCAGCCTTTTACTCTTTACCGCATTGATATTCACAGCTGCAACCACGAAGCTGACACACTCGGTTGCAGCGCTTCCAACTTTGTCTTTGCAAGAACCATGCCTTCAGGTATGCTCTCATAAGCATCAAGGTTTTGTTGTGTTCTTTTTTTCTGGCAAGAGCTGAGTCTCAGGGGGGACAAATCTTTGAAAACACATAGAGAAGTGTTGGGAGCATGAAATAAAAATTCATTGAACGCAAGGAGATAAATTGGAATTGTATGAAAGTTTCTTGCAGTAGTTTAATTGTCTCGTCTGCTCTCTCCTGTGTACTGAGTCATCTGTATTGAGCCTGTCTCTGATCTGGAGAAGGGCAGCCCTGCCTCCAGTACCTAGATGATTGTGAGAGAAATGGTTTCCCAGCTTTGTAGATGAGAGCTGCAGACATGATGGATTAAAAGGTTTTATTCTTCAGTTCCCTGCATGCTGAATAAAGACAAGGGAATGTTTCTCTGCTGGTGTTCAGTTTTGCTGTGTTCATGCTGAACTGTTTACAGATGTTAGTGCTGCTGGTGGAAATGCATGCCAAATGTTTCTCTGTCACAGAATGACCAAGCATTTGTCCAGCCTGGAAACAGGAGGAGCACTGAGATGCTTTGTGCCCAGTCCTGGGCATCTAGAATACTTCAAATAAGAAACACTGAATGCTCTACTCATGTCTGGGAATTATCCAGATTGTGCTTCTGAGAAGAATAGAGATGATTTTAGTGTAAGCTCACATGCATCCAGCAAAGAGCTTCTGACTCCAGCAGATGTCTGGGAATATTTGATGCAGTGGTAGTAATTTTGCTTTGTTTCCCTCATAATTTGGGTTCATCTGTGTCAGTGAAAGTATTACTTATTTCAAGGAAGTAAGGAAATATGTAAGATCTGGAAAAGGGACATAAGTATTCCCAGATATTTAGTGTATGGTTTTGAAAATTAAAAGCTAAATTATTCTACTTTATTCTGTACCTTATAAGACTGAAACTGTCTTCATACTTCTGTTAGAATTTGAATAAACATCATAAAATGACCAAGAGTGAAAATGACTGGGGATAAACACAACTGCTGAATTGCTGATGAGACCCTATTTTAGACTGAGTAGTTTCCTGAGATTACCTACAGAGAAGGGATGGCAGTGGGGCAGATTCTGCTGTCTTTCTAGCAGTTGTTGTTTGCAGCCATTTGGTGGGACTAGCTGTGTCTGCATGGCTTTGATATAGTGAAAGGCTTGGAATGAAGAACCAAACGCTGATAAGCAGCTCTGTGTCATGCAAAAATAGCACACTTAGTAGAAAAGCACTGACATCTGATGAAGCTGTATGTACACCCTCACTTCTGACAATCAGCAGTTCATGCAATACTAATCTATCCAGCCAGACCCTGGCCAATGCATTTCATTCTCTGGATCTTCAGATAGTACTTCCTTCAACTCTTTGTGACCTAAAGAATAGTATGAACTTCTATTTTTGTCCCCCACCATCAACTGTTGCCTAAGTTCCTGTTTTAGCAGTAGGTATTCTTCTCACATTCATTGTAAATATTTTACAGAGGGAGCAGATAACATTCCAGGAACAGTAGCATGGGAAGCAAAAGAAGAAAATACCGTCTACCTGAAGTGGTTAGAGCCTACAAATCCAAATGGGCTGATACTAATGTATGAAATCAAGTATGGGCAGCATGGAGAGGTGAGGATCTGACACTTCTCTGTGAATATTTACTGCTTGTTACTCTAGTTTATACTTTTATCTTGTCACATCAGACTGTCTAACCAAGGTAGCATTTTTCAGCCTGTTTTTGTCAGCCTCAGAAAATCTAGGCTTAAGTACAACTGTAGAATATTTTCCCTGCTTTGACTTTTATGGTGCAAAAGACATAGTGCTACGTGAAGAGCCTGTGTAACTAAAAGCTAACATTGTCACACTTGAGTTTGCTAAGGGTCACACAGCACTTGATGCCACAGACAGTGACTTAGCAGCCAGTCTGCCATCCACATTAATTTGGAGTTCCTTATTAGTCTTGTTGCCCACGGGGGTTACCTGCAGTTTGGGAATGAGAATCTGAAAGGGCTTCCAAGTTATGACTTTTATTATGCTTTAAAATACCAAATATACCTCAAAACTGAGTAAGGGTGAGGGGGATACAATGTTTAGATACATTCAGTCTGTAAAAATTAATAGTTTAATGGTTTGGTTTTAATCATTTGCAGGCTGTAATAAAAAGCTTGGAGATCTGGTAGCACTGCAAAAATTATCTTTGTGACTTTCATCGAAAATGTAATATTCAGAATAGACCTGTTTTCTGTATTCTTAAGAAAAGTAATTTTTATGTGGTGTTTATGGTAGCTGCTTTCTTTTAGAGATCTCTGGATTACCGAGTCCTTAATAATTGAACAGTGTTTAACTTAGTCCCAACTGAGATACAAATGGAATCTTTTTTAACTTTCTTCTTTCTGAGTGCTGCTACAGACCAGTGATGGAGATGGTGATTTCGAACACTCAGCAACAAGCAGTGTCTCATTCCTTTGTCTTGTTTTGTCAGGTTTTGGATTCCACATCTCTTTAAGCTGTTGGAATGAAGGCTAATCAGGCGGGGTATTTAGTTGTACAGATGAGCTTATGTTGCAGCCCTACTCTCTTCTCCAGAGTGAAGAGTATGAAGATTTTAACATGAACTGCAAATTGCTTTTTCCTTTCAGGAGAAACGAGAATGTGTTTCGAGACAGGAATACAAGAAGCTTGGAGGGGCGAAGCTGACTCATCTGAACCCCGGAAACTATTCTGCTAGAGTTCAGGCCACATCATTGGCTGGAAATGGATCTTGGACTGAGCCAGTCTCTTTCTATGTACAACCCAAATGTAAGACCAGTATTGCTTGGCTGTGTCCATCTGGGGACTTGACTTTTTGAAAATTCCTAGGGTTTACTTGCATAACTCTGAATACTCTTACCTGTTGATGTGTTTTGGAAATTCCTCTTTGTTCTACTTTCTGACAGTTGTTTATAAGCAACAGGTGTATTGGAGGTGTGGTCCTTTTGTTGCATGCATTGCACATATATGAGGTGCAGCCAGGTGATGGGTGCATAGATTTTACTACTGTGGCTCTCTCTGATGCCCACCTCACAGTCCTGTGTAATGTTAGGAGTTAAATGCTGGAGTTAAATTGTGCAGAAACTGTGATAATCTGCACACCTACTTTGAATTGCAAAGTGATTTAAGAACCAGTGATCTGTTAAGATTTGACCTGGCAAATTTTTTTTAAATATCAGTATGATTTTTTATACTATAGAATTGATCTTAGGCACGTTGTGATAAAGATGGTACTAATGAAACGGGATACTGCTCCTGAGAATGGTAGCAATTTAGGTTTTGGAAGAATAGCTCTGCACAGGGTACACGGAGACCTTCTCCAAGCAGTTGTATCCACAGAAAATTAAACTCCAAACCAACGTGAATATCTTCTGAAGTACGAGCAATTGCAAGGTGAACAAAAGGTGATGGAAAAGAAAGGTTAATATACAAGTGAACAACCGCGTATTGTTCACTGAGGAATGTAAGTCTTCAAGCATAACATGTGAAACCAAACTCCAGACAGACGCTGTTCTGTACAAAGTTAATGCTTTTCAATCTCTGTTCTCTTGTTCCACTCATCTGCAGTCAGGGAGTGTTTCTGAGTACATTTTTCCACATCAGACAAGAAAATGAGTACTTTGATTTCTCCCGTGTATGGAAATATACTTGAGTGGGTTTTGAATGTTTCTTTGTTAATGGAGATTTTATAGAAACCTTAATACAATTGTTTTCTTGTTGGTTGCAGCAGCAAACTATGACAATTTCCTCCATTTGATAATTGTGCTCCCCATTGCTTTCCTGCTCATCATTGGGGGTTTGCTGATAATGCTGTATGTCTTTAACAAGAAGAGGTGAGTTATATTTGTGGTTGAAGCTAAACTGCAGGAGGGGAATGCTTATTTTCAAATCTGTGTCTGTGGAGCAAGTTAGAAAATAAAAAGTGAAATAGCTTTCAGAGTACTTGAGAAGCTCAAGTGGATTCAGCCTTGACGGTGTGTAGAAGGAGGTGGTGTAGAGTTACTGCCAGTATCTGCCTGCTGCTTGGGATGCAAAAGGGCTTTTTATTACAGTATCATGTTTGAAGGGGAAGAGGAGGGGTTGTCAGGAAGATACCCAGTGATGGCAGATGTGTTGAACCTTTATAATCAGATGCTTTGAAATGCAGTTTGCTCTATAAACTTAGTTCAAGTCAGGTTAATCTGATTTCTTGCAAATTCTGAAGTCTATACACATAATAATGTTTGTATGCTGGACAGAACATTCAATTGATTTGTTTTCCTTAGTGTTGTACTTAAATAACTAGGGTTTTTTTTTTAAATTATTTATTTAATTGAAATACATAATGAGAACTTAGCAGAAGTCAGTGCAAATGTTCTCCCTTGCAACTTTTTAAGTGTGGAGCTTTTTTGTTATACCTACTTTTAAATTATGCTCATTGAGTATCTCATTATCACCAGCTCTCATCCCTTTATGTGCACACTGTAATCTCAGTTCCCAAGCACCACAGAAAAGGCTTTGCACTACAGAAAGTGCCTCAAGTGATGTGAGGCACCTGCTTGGCCTTCCCATGTCCTCTCTGGAGTGAAGTAACTGATACCTCATCCTTCTTTAAATTGTTGTTCTAGCACACAAAAATGTTTTCTTTGGTTTTCTGAAGTCTGATTAATGATTTTATTTGTACTGCTTGCCCCCTGCAAGTACTCATACAACTCTCACTAAATGTCTTATTCTGAAAATCACATCAGTAAAATAAAATAATAGAAACAATTTATAAAGTAGTTGAATAGAAGAAACCCAACTAAAAAAAGCCTTGTTCTTTGCTTGATCACTTATGTCTCACAGTAAAAAGCAGGTGATGTTAAAGCCACAAGTCTCCTGGGTGTATCAGTGCACAGCTGCCTTTCTTAAAGGAAGTTTGCCCAGCAGCTGAAAGTACCGTGTGTTTACACTTCTCTGTACCACATCAGCACCAGAAAAGACTGCAGGTTTCCTGGGAAAAATGTTCTGAGCTGTTTTCCTATTGATTATGGGAAGTAGAACAAGAATGTGATTTGTCTTCTTTCTCTGAAAAGCTCTCCACGTACAGTAAATACTTCATGATTGTGCAAACAGTGGAAAAGCTGTAGAATAGGCAGTCTGCAATTACTTGAGTTTAAGGATTAAAAAAGAAAAAAAATATTTCAACAGGAACAGTGACAGACTGGGCAACGGAGTACTTTATGCATCTGTGAACCCTGAGTACTTCAGTGCTTCGGATGGTAAGTGTGGCCTGAGCCTCTGTGTGCTCACTTCTGTATGCTCTGTTTGTGTCTGACATGAGAAGGTATGAAACCCTTGCAAAGGGATGTGGTAAAACTTCTTTCTCTTCATTGTATCTGCACACCCATAGTTAATTCATAGGCAGTTGTACGTGAATGTTGTCTGCCTACTGAAACTGGGGAGTCTCTGAAGTTTTTCCTGGAGTTTATTAAGCTGAGATTAACTTGGGTGGGTTTCCCTTTCAGAGCATTGTCTACTTAGGCAGTAATTTTGTTTCTAGAATGAAGGAAGAATTCATAAATTCTGTGTCTTCACTATTTGTCCTTTTGAGCCCCGTTCTGACCTATTGGAACAAGCTCACCACTTGCTTGGCTTGCTGCTTGCCAGTCATAACGTGTGGCAATTCTGTGTTAAAATGAGCACAGCTGTTATAATGTAATCTCCATTTTCTTTTCTCTTTAATATCTGGAATATAGAAGTCAGTTACTCTTTGACTAAAAAGCTTTTTCGAACTAGCTTCACGTTGACCAAGCAGGTTTGTACTTGATGCAAACGTCAACATTCTGTGGAATATGTAACATGGGTAATGTTTCTTTGAATGTAAGAATAAAAATGGAAGAAGGTGCTGGAAATGGCAGCTAATGGGCTTTCCTCTTGCTTAGCTACTAAATTGGAAAGTTTTGCTTAAAGTAGTTCTGGTTGCCTCCAAATGAGGTTGTTTGCCACTGGTAGAATAAATAACTCTTTCCTTTATTCCGGTGAAGAAACAAAAGCATCTAATGTGCCCATTGAAAGCTTGAGGGGAATGGTGTAATATGAGATTCTTACACTGCCAGAAGCATCTTCTGAAGGTGTGGGAGTGCTGCTGAGAGCTAGCTCAGAACTTTGTTACTCAGAGGACTGGATGCTGGGCTTGTATGACTGGCAGCACACCTGAGAAAATGTAACCGCACCGATGGTTTGGAAGACTGCAGAAAATTTCCATCAGGATAATGGTGAAGGTGTCCAGTGTCAAATAAAAAGCAAGAATTAAAACTGATCTCAGGATCAGTTGAAGATGAAGGCTTATTGTTCATTAGGATTGTTTAGTTTCAATTTCTTGCTTGTATACATAATTCTGGACCTTGAATTTATTTCACCTGATGCAAAACGCGATGAAATTCCTCACTGGAACAGGCTGCCCAGGGAGGTGGTGGAGTCTCCTTCTCTGGAGATGTTCAAGACCTGCCTGGATGCCTACCTGTGCGACCTGCTGTAGGGAACCTGCTTTGGCAGGGGGGTTGGACTCGATGATCTCTGGAGGTCCCTTCCAACCCCTACAATTCTGTGATTCTGTGAAAATCATACAGGAAACAAATGAACAGAAAGCAAAACAACAAAAAAACACATAGGTTTTTGTATGTCTGTCTTATTCTCCTGTACTTCACTTGTTGCAGAGGGGTTTGCTGCTTGTGCTGTAGATAAACTCCTTGGCAGGTCCTGTGCTGGCTGCTCCTGAGCAGCAGCAGGAGCTGAATGACCCTGGTTGTGCGCATTGTGTTCTTTATTTTTATCCCATTCTGCCAGTCCCTTTGCATCCATCTACACATTCCTTTTAAGATGTATTTGTATGCAAATGATCTGCCTGTCTCTGTATGGGAAAGACCGTGGAATATTTGCATGCATCATTCAGGGGCTCAGCATTATGGCCAGCGTTGCTTACGGTAAAATTGTTCAGACAACTGATATCATGAAGTGACCCCGGTGTTTAGGAAAACAGAACGTGATGGCATGTTCTCTCTGCTTAGTGTACGTTCCAGACGAATGGGAGGTGCCCCGCGAGAAGATCACCATGTGCCGGGAGCTTGGGCAAGGCTCTTTTGGGATGGTGTATGAGGGAATAGCCAAGGGAGTGGTGAAGGATGAGCCGGAGACCCGGGTGGCCATCAAAACAGTCAATGAGTCTGCAAGCATGCGTGAGAGGATAGAGTTCTTAAATGAGGCCTCGGTGATGAAGGAGTTCAATTGTCACCATGTGGTAAGTCATGAACGTGTAACCAGGTGGGCTGATATGGCTGTGGTGCTTTGAGGGCAGGAGGGTGTTTGGGGCATGTCCTCACTGGATGAAGAGGTGCTTGGATTTTAGCTTCAACTCGGCAGCGTTAGAATATTGCTGTTCAGCAGGAGTCAGAGAGAAAATAAATCTGCCTCCGGACGCTTCCCACTGGTTCGTGGGTGTCTGGGGCTACGTATCACATGAATAAATGCTTACTGCAGTTCAGTTGATGGGATCTGGAGCTGAGTGTTTGTTTTTCCTCTTCCAGGTTCGCCTGCTAGGTGTTGTTTCTCAGGGCCAGCCTACCCTAGTTATCATGGAGCTGATGACACGTGGGGACCTCAAAAGTTATCTGAGATCATTGAGGCCAGACACAGAGGTGAGTCACAACTTGCTGGATTTTGTTTATTTATTTCTTTGCTCAAAATCATCTTGAGCAAAAAGGCATCATGTCAGAGGGAGTAGGCAGTTAGCCTTTCTTGCCCTTGTCCTTAAGCTGTAAGCACAAAACATGCTGCTGTGTGATCTGCAACACTTCTTTTTGATGTGGTAATTACTGCAAATAGCCCAGTGTGCTGTATGGAATAGGCTCTGTCTTGTGGTACTGAGTCTGATTTTCCACGTTTGAATTAGATCTCTTGTCTAACCTAATTCTTGTCAAGACGTTGAAAAGATTGGCTTGTTGAAGTATACATGTTAGGATAATTGTTTCGTGTTCTATATCCTGCCTGTTGCCTCTGCTGGAAAATAATTACAAATAAGGCCTATTTAAAAAATCAGTGTGCTTGCTAATACACGAATGTACTTCAACATGTAGGCCATCTGTCTAACAGCTAAAATTGCCCCTTATGATGTAGGGTCTGAAAAATGATACTGAACGTTGAAAACATAGTAGACATTGTAGAGAATGAACCCAGCAGTTTTCTTTTGCCATTGGTGGAATAATCTAGAATTTCTGGCACAAGTAATTTAAAGGAACAGAATATGGGTATATGGTTATGTGCAACAGAGAATACATGTGGTATGAATGGAGAACACTGAACATATCAAATAGCTGAAGCAATTGGATGCAGAAAATGTCCAAGCTGAATAAACTATTTAAGCTCTTCAGGTGTAAGAAACAACACTGCTGTACTAAAAAGTCTTTCTTGTTTGTATTTCCTATAATAGCATGGCCAATGGCTAAAAAAAAAGAGCTGTTTGGGTGTTCTGCCTGTAAACCAGTTTGTTATGCCCAGTTTTCCCTCTAAGCAGGTGCTACAGTGCTCATCATTTTAAAAAGTATGTTGCAGTTTGGTATGGAAATAGGTTTTTTTCTTTTTTTTCTTTTCCCCTTACGTGTTTTGTCTTCTTAATCCTGCTCAGAGTAATCCTGGCCAACCACCTCCAACTCTGAAGAAGATGATTCAAATGGCAGGAGAGATTGCTGATGGGATGGCTTACCTCAACGCCAACAAATTTGTTCACAGAGATCTTGCGGCGAGGAACTGCATGGTGGCAGAAGATTTCACAGTGAAAATCGGAGGTGTGTTTTTTGATGTTTACAGGAATGAAAAGCTGAAAAATCCTGAAAAATCAACATCTTAGAGGGTGTTTTAGTTGTTTTTTTTTAAATCTGTTTTTAAAATCTTGTTGAGCTTAGTTCTAGTTTCTGCAGAATGAATTATGTTTCATATGAAGGCTAGCTGTGATTTAAGACGTGTGAGCAGTCAGCGTTGATTTGAAACTCTTGGAATACCTCTCCTTGCTGTTGTTCCATTGAGGAAGTAGCATAGCATGTGGGCTTAAAAGGAGCGGGTGAGGCAGCGATTTGAGGTGCAGATGCTGCAGACATCTGGGTGTATGGCACAGTTACCACTGTGTGTCATTTGCTCTTCTGTTAACGCGCAGAAATAATTCTATCTCCTGTTTATTGATTCAAGAAAAACAATTTTAGGATTATTTTAAAGCATATCTGAATTAGATGTGGAATGTAAGGCTTGATTTCAGCTGGATGCTTTCCAGTGTGAACTGGAGTGCTGCTTTCCAGACAACAGAATGGCTTTTCCTCTGCTCTGCTGTTAGAACACCACTTATTTTCCCCCTTCACCATTCCTTCAAAACAGTGTCAGATGAGTTTTTTCAGACTTCCCTCCAGAGAGTGATTTTTGAGCTTTTGGCTGTTTTTAAGTTGTGCATATTAAAATAGCATGTATGGTAACAGCCTTCTGCTCTAGGAAACTAATTCTTTTTCTTTGAGCTTAACTCAGCTATTCTGATAATTTGTGTAAGTAATCCTGTCATTTGGGAGAAAGAAAATATGATTTCATTTTGAGTCAGTTAATTAGGAAATGAGATCTTTGGGGAATTATGTACATTTTCTGCAGGTTTGAGGAAGTCAGCCTTAAATCCTTTCCATTTCAGTGTTCCTACCCCAGCATGTTTTACAGTTCTGCGATTTGAAGGTGGTGTGTTGTCCTCCCTTTAACATGGTGCATGGTTACCCAAAAAGCATTTTATGAAATATGCTGCACTGCTCTTTTTCATGTGCCTGTATTAAAAATCCCTTCATATGGACACAGTCTGGGAACATCTTGGCTGGAACACGCTAGATCAGACTGCTTAGATCTCAAAGGAGGAGCTTTGTGTTGTGCTGTCCTATGCTCATTGTATTGTGTCTTAGAAGAATTTTCCTTCCTACGGGGGGTAAGATCAGCCTGGTGTGTGGGAGTGATGGAATGGCTGCACAGATGGGGCTGTTAGTTAGGATCACTGGGGTATCAGCAGCTCTAGCAGGTAAGGAATGAGAAAGATCAATGGTCTCTCATTCAAGCCATGGACTTGTAATAATGACTGTGAGTACTGATTAAGCTGGAGGATTTCTCTCTTCTCTCCACATTTCCAAGACAAAAAATGATAAACTGAATTTTGTCCGAGCCCTTCTGTTTCAGCAGATAGCATTTAATTTAGTAAGCAGTTCAATCACATGTGATTTATTAAATGTTTGTTAATATTTGGAAGTGAAGTTGCTTACGTGAGTAGGCTCGTAGAAGGCCCAGCCAGGCTGTGTGCATCAAGCTGATGGCATGAAAAAAACTGGAAGGAGTGAGTGCCAGTCAGATGGTGTTAGGCCAAGCCTTGCAAGTGCTTACGTATTTCCAGCTAAGGGCATGACACGTGTAACTGGGAGTGTGGCTTTAACAGTGGTCTGCATTAGTCATAGGTGAATAGCTTAATCCTCTGTGGAATTTGAGGTAGAATATTATGTAGGAACTGAAAACTTGCTTTGGAGAAAGGAAAAAGTGAGAGAAGCACTTCTCTCAAAATGTGAGATTCTTTAATTAAAGGCAGTAGGATAAGTAATAAATATTTGCATTCTTTAAACAGGATAAGTAATAAGAGAGTTATTTGCATTCTTTAAAAAGAAAAAGAAAACACTGAACTATTGAGCAGATTAGTGAAGGATGTGAACGTTAGAAGATATAACTTACTGCAAGGCTTGGACATAAACCGTGGAACTTTCCTTAATAATCTATTTAAATCATTCAGAGCTGATCTGGATCCAGCTCTGACCGCTGATGTCTGTGGTAAAAATGCCTGCTGGTTTTGCTGGGAGAAAAGGCAGCCAGCCCAGGCAGGCAGGTAAAGGCTCTGCTGACAGGTGGAAGATTCTTTGTACCAAACTGTGGTCATCTGCTGATGACATTGGCTTGTAGTAAGCTGAAATGTTAGTTGTTTCATCATGCAGACTAACAAAACTTGTGCCTTCTAGATTTTGGTATGACAAGAGATATCTACGAGACAGATTATTACCGGAAAGGAGGGAAAGGTTTGCTGCCTGTCCGCTGGATGTCCCCGGAATCACTGAAGGATGGAGTCTTCACGACGCACTCCGATGTCTGGTAACAAAAAAGGGGGTTTGAAAAAGCAGTTTTAGCCCTCTTCTTTCTGGTCTCTGCTCTTGTTTTCCAGGATTTAATTAAGTATCCTGCTTCTTCTGGCTCCTCAGATCCTCTGGTTATCCACTGCAAAGCTTTTTACTTTCTGTTGTTTCTGTTGCAAAAATCAAGGGCTCATGAGGTTATTCTGCCCTCAGAGGCAGAGCCTTAAATGGATTTCCAAAGCTGGAGGTGCAGCTTAATTCCTGCTGTGAGTTGTAAAATCACTTGTGCAGTGAAGAACATTACCTTCACCTGGAAGAGCAAGTTGTCATTTTTCAAATTGCCCTCCTTCAAGAAAAGCATTCTAAGTTGCCAAGAATATGGAAAGGTTCATGGTGCTGACCTGCTTTTCTATCAAAACCTTCTGTGTAAATAGCTCCACTTTCCTGCAGACGGTTTGTGTACACTACCAATTTTTTTCTTTGGAGCTCTCCCTCGTGTGCATTCTTCTCCATTTGGGGCTTTGTTTGCTTGTTTTATATACCGCAAGATGCGGAAATAGGTTTTTCTTTAAAAGCACATTGCTTAGTTGCTGTATCTATGAAGTTATTAATAGAGGCATTCAGGAAATTTCAAAATAAACTTCTTAGTAGAAATAATACTCTGGAACATTCCTCTCTCCCTCTCACCCCCACCCCCCCACTGCTTCTTTCTGCTTTTGCAGAAAGACAGAGAGGCCTTGGCAAAAGATGAATGTGTACTGGCAAAACCTCTGCCTCTACTCAGACTTTTATGGTTTCTCTGCCTCCTTAACAAGATGTTTTTACTGCTGATTTGTTACAGAATTGGCAGCTGAATGCCTCCAAGTGCCTAAAAGTCAGTTGAAATGGTATTTTAGTAGTAAACTGCGTTTTCTTTAAACAGCTTGAGGATTTTGGAGTCAGTGGGCTGCGATCCACGGCATCAACTTCAAAAAACAAGTGGAAAAGCACAGTATCAGAATGTTACTTCAGTTATTGTGCTTTTTTTTTTTTTTTTTTTTTCCCTTCTCCATATGGCTAATAACTTATGTATCCAGTAACCTCAAAGTTTGAATTCAATGAAAATATCCACTTTGAGTTGGAGGGGAAGCCCTCATCAGCCATTCACCTAACAGAACCACGCTTCTGGCAGTTCCTCTGTAGTAAAACAATTCTGGGACTTGTAATGGCTTCACAAAGCAGACAGATCTGAAATACATCACTAGAAAAATCCCCAGATTTACAAGTGAATTTAGCTTAGAGTGAAGAGCTGGCAGATCTGCCTCTTCTAACCACCAAACAGGAACTTCCAAGTCCAACCCTCATTTTCGGCCTTTGTTTCATGTCTGTAGCAGATCAGCTGTTCAGCTTTGTTGATGTATTGCTGTTGTTCATGCAAATTTTCCTATTCACCTGCAACTCCTAGGTAGCGTTTCTGTTTAAAATGGACTTGGATTCCAGAACACACAAACATAACAGATGAGATGCAAAGTCAAGCATCGGTACTGAATTTGTGCTTCAGTTGTTGCAGGAAGTGTATGTTGTTCTCTTAGAGTTCTAACAAAAGAGTGTTCTTTGTGCAAAGCAAGACTGATCAAACTGTATTGCATTTTAGTAGCGGGACATGGAATGTATTGTAGCCAGACTACTGCAGATGTCCCATAAAGGAAAGCAGCTCACTGACAGGAGTGATGGAAAACGTAGGGGAGAAAAGTCAGATCTGACAGATCCGTAGTTATAAGCATAGAAGGAGGAAAGCATCAACTGCTGGACTGCAGCTCTACAGAGCTCGTCAGCACTTCGGTTTCCTCTTGGCGTGGTTTGTGAATGGTGAAGTGATTTTTTTCCTAAAATTCAGCTCGTGTGGGGATGCTGGTTTCACACGAGGTTTAGAATGTGTAATGCTTGCATTTGCCACATATCCATGGATAGAGATGGTCTTAATTTTTAATTCAGATCAAAAATTTCCAGTGTTTCCTTCTAGTTTGCTTCTCAGTAACTTTTAGTTGTGTACCTTGAAGGCCTCTTCATCCCCATGAATAATCACCTGAGTCCCTGTGTTGAAGTTGCTTTATGAAAACTTGCTGAGCTTATGAAGACTTTTTGAGGGGCCATTCATGGTTTTTTTCAAACAATATATTAAAAAAAAAAAAAAAAGTAGATAGTTCTTTTCTGCCTCTTTGGTAGGAAATTGTGACATCTGGTTCCGTGTTCTTAGAGATCAGTTTTAGGAGCCAAAATGTCAAAAAGACAAAACTGCAAGTGGTCAGAGTGCAAGATTTATAAGCTGTAAGGTGAAATGGCAAACTGCACAAGTGTCTGGAGGTTTTTAAGGGTGGAGCTTTATTTTGGCAATTCATTCTTTTGTTGCTTTCCAGGCTGAAGAATGAGGTAATTAGACAAGAGTGTTGTTGTTGTAGTTGGAAAGAACACTTGTTGTGTAGGAGAACGTTTTAAAATGAGTGTAATACTGTTCAGGATGAGGGTGTGCTTTTGTAAATAGGTCTTCAGCATCTTGCATTCTTCCTGAGATAGTGGTTGCCTTGAAGGAGCAGTGTAAGTGTACTTGTTATGGTGATGTGGCTAGGAGGTGTGCAGAACTTGCTCTCCTTATTCCTGCAGCGATCAAAGCAGCTTCAAAGCCACCAAGGTGCTGAACTGACCCGCTGTTCCTCCCTCCCCTGAAAGGCTAACAGCTGCAGGTCTGTCTGTGGCTTCTGGCTTCAGTTACAAGCCACTTCAGATCCAGTGTATAACAGAAAGGTAAAAACCTCTGTTCCATGACCAGCTAATAGTGCTGGACCCCTGGTTGCACAGCAGCGTCCTGTTGGAGCTGCGCTTCTGTCTCTAAACCTGACTCAGCATTTTAGCCGCAGAAGACAAGACAGCAGCTAGATTTGTTCATTGCGCAGCAGCTCTAAAAGTAGATGACTGTTCAATGCAGGGCAGACAATTTGATCTGTCTGCTCAATAAACTAATTTTAAATTGGGGTATTTTTAGAAAGTGTCGATATTTACATCTGAACTATCCAGTTACATAATTGTGTTTATTCACCAGTAATCAGTTTGTCTTATTAGACCAACTTCTTGTTTTTCGCTTCTACTGTCCTTTGTAGTTAGCTGGGAATAGCTAGGAGCTCTGTTTCAGGATGTTGCTAAAGGAGTAGCTGGGTTTCTTAGTTGGACTTAGCTGTACTGCTGAAGCAGCGAAGTGTAGAGCCTTTGTTCAAGGAGCTGGAGAACATTTCTGCTGCTTCTCAGCCTTTTTCACAGATCACTTCCGTTAGTTGTTTCTGTATTTCAAATGCCTTGATCCTTACTTTGCATTTTTTACTTAGAATGTGGAGGAAATCAGAGCGGAGAGACAAATGGGAAGTATTGCTCAGTTTCTGCCTGGGGAACGGAAGCAAACCTGGTTGGTTTGCTTCTAAAGGGGAGGCAGCTGAGATACAGGTGTGGTGGGTGCATTTACTGTTTAGCTCTCTGCTGCCTGGAATGGTAAGGAAAAATTGAAGCTTTGAAATGAAATTTGTGTGACTCGATTTCTGACAAAAAGCAGCTTGCACTGGAAAGAAAGCTTAGAGTTCTGCTTCATTGTCAGCTCAGCTGCTATCAGCAGTACCTGAAAGATGTCACATGTAGACTTTGGGTTTCATTTCTTTAATGCACAGAGTTGCAATTTTTCCCTTGCTGTCTCTGTCACTTTGGGACTGGTTGGTTGTTCTTTAAAAAACCATCTCTCCAGCAGCTCTCCAACCTGCACAGGAGGTTGATAGGAGCAGTATTCTTTTTCCTTCTTCCCTTACCTGCATCTTTCCCTCTCTGCTGTTCTTCCTACCTCCCAGGGTGCCTTGAATCTGAACTCAGAGCTGTGGAAGAGGGAAATGAGGTTTGTGCAGATCGTCCAGACAAGCGCCCAGCTTAGCTGTCCTCTGAATTAGGAGGCTTCTGGTCAGTGCAAGGAGCCTGTGATGGCTTTTCTTACTGATCGACCTTTGCAGAACCGTTATAAACAAGCAGTGTTGGACTACTGAATAATGGTGATCAGCTCTCACCTGTAAGTTACGGTGTGAAAATTAAGAGATTTGTTTGTAAAAGGAAGCTCCCCCAGAAACCGACCTGCTCAGCGTCATCAAAGAAAAATATCCTTGTAAACATTGCTTGGCTTTCTAAAGTTCTTTTGTTTTCCAGGTCTTTTGGTGTTGTACTTTGGGAGATTGCAACATTAGCGGAGCAGCCGTACCAAGGCATGACCAATGAGCAAGTGCTCCGCTTTGTGATGGAGGGAGGTCTGCTGGAAAAGCCAGACAACTGCCCTGATATGCTGTAAGTGTCTGCAGTTACCATTGTCTCAGTGCTCAGCTTATTCTTCATGATCCCTTTGTGCCTGCTCCTGCCCTGTCTGCCACAGGAGAGGCTATTAAGATGTGACTGCAATGCAAGATGCTGCTTGAACAGTCTCTGTCAATTTTCTGTTTTGTAGTAATTAGAGTTACCATCAAACACCTTTGCTTGTGGGCAGAATCTCACATTGGGCTCTTTCATAAGGAAGCAACACCCAATCTCTGTGTTCCTAACTAAATTTACATTTAATAACAGCTCAGCGTCATCTGCTGCAGTGGAAAATGTTGTACCTGTATCTTGTCTCTTCTGCTCCAAGGAAGTCTGTTGGGGATTAGGAGAAAAAAGAGCTTAGCTATACTGTGCTCAAACTCTATGCAATGCAAGTTTTCAGTTCGGTGTACAGATAAATGAATCCTTCGTTCCTGTGTCTGAAGCAGCTTTGGATCTTCCATGTCGGTCGCTGCTCGTTGCATTTAGGTAAACAAGTCTGCCCAGCCAACAGTTTCCTGCCCTCTGAGCACAGAAAGAGGCACGCAGAAAAACCTTTGTGTCCCCCTCAAGCCCGCACAAAGCCTCACGGCCGAGCAGCATGCAGCACAGCAGGCTTCGGTTTTTAGCTTTACATTGCTGAAATACTTCTGCTGGCTTTGGTGTGCAGCAGTTTCAGTTGTTCAGACTTTATTACTTTGATATACTTCCCAAACTGGCTTTTGGGAAGGAAATACTGCGTCTTGCACTTATTGAAATTTGTTGGAGGCCCGCAGAAGGGATACAATCACTTAAGGGCCTCAGCTGCTTGAGATTCTTAGGAAAAGAGCTTTTTTGGCTGGCCGGCTGGCTCTGGTTTCAGATGACAGGCAGCGTTGTTTTTGTTGTTTGAGGGGGGTGGGTGTATGTGCAAGGGGAGGTGTAGTGCCATGTGATTCCTCAGTTTCACATTCTTTCCTTTCCACGATGCTGTGGAGAATTTCTGGCAGGCGGATCGACCGGAGATTGTTTCACATGGTGAGCACAGTGTAATGGAGGCAGGGATGGGGCGGAACGGGGCTGTGAGGGGCTCTGGGTAAGGCTGCTGTGCTCCCCGAGTCAGCAGGGAAAAATGAGCTCTGCAGTGAGAGCAAACTTGACAAGAGTTTCAGCCTCAGAAATTCCACATTTACCTGGGGCATGTGTGGTATGGGCAGGGCGAAAAGAAGCTCTCACTGCTGCAGCCCATCGTCTACTCGCCTTATTTCTTGAGACTAATTCTGTGCTCGTGGGCACTGCTTTCACCAGGTCTGCTTGCAGGGTAACCAACGTGTCCTTGCATTGCTGTAAACCAGCAAAAACCTTTTTTGTGCCGATTTTAAATGAAGCTGCTCACAACTGATGGCTGTTAATGGCCATCAAAACTAGGTGGACATGGCAGAGGGGCAGAATGAAAATACCTTCCTTTCATTTTAACTTCTCTCCATTGGAACAAGAAGCAGAACTAAGGCACATCCAGTTATCCAGATTAGTGATGTCTCTCTTATTTCGTCAGTAGAGCTGTGAAAAAAAGATCCTAACTTTGTCCAGGTGCTGAAAGAAATTGAATGCATTGGCCTTAGAAGTGTATTGTGACTTGCTGTAGCTTCCTTTGAGCTTATTTTGTCTTTGTATTAGGACAGTCTCTCGAGCCTGCTGAAATTCAACGAGGTTGCTAAGAGAATAGCAGTAGGGAGCTCCAAAAGTAATCTTTACCTTTTCTCCACGTATTGGGCATCCGAAGAACCTATTCTATGTACTGTAGTGCCTGGGGTTTTTTGCACACTTGCGCTGCTTTTCCCATTGTCTGTCCTATTGGCCCCAGGTTGGGTGTAGGTGCTGTTTGGCCCTCAGCAACTGATGCAATCATAGCTCACTGTTACTGCTGGTAGGCAGGGAGCTGCCCTAGGGGCAGAGTTGCTTCTCTCCCTCCAGCTGTCTGTTTACCCACACCTCAGTGTGGGACATTATTATTGAACCTACAGAAAGATGCTTGTGGCAGAGTTGCAAGCATGTATTCTCTGTGCTAGATACTGACTGTTCTGTGGTACTTACTATTAGCTCACAGCATTAACTCAAGATGCCCAGAAAGCAAAGCCTGCCTGTTGTAGGCAAGTCAGCATACTTCTGTGATGCTCAGCAAACCAGAAGTGGAGCTAGGAGCACACGTGGTGGTAGGAGATGACTGCACATGTATTTTTTATTTAAATTGCTTTGACGGGCGAGCAACTAAAATGTAATAATGGGAGGATGGTATCTAATGTGGAAAACAAGTTTACCTTTCTGAAGAGATGGAGAAATATACTGACACACAAAAATGTCCAGAACAGGTGGAGTAGGTGTTCTGCTGTGGGGAAGCGTGGATGAGAATAGAAGAATCTCTCTGCAACTGACACCGAACCGACTATTTTTAACCGTGCAGATGATGTGAGTGTTGACACAGCCGTGCACACTCCTGCCACAGCACAGCAGTTCTTGTAAGGGCCTCTTGTTGCCCCCTGTGTGAATGCTACGTGGTGCAAGCGGTCTTGGCCGTTCCATCTCTCCTAAGACTGCAATGCCTGTAATGCTTGTTAGTGGCTGTGCTTTGCTAACCCCTGCTAGCAGAGAGCCATCAGCTTTCCCAGCAGATCAGAGACCAAGGACACTTGAAGAACTGGAGGGGTTCTGTTCTGCAGCGTGGATGTATCAGATGGTTGTGCAAAGGTGGATTTTATGGCACAGTTGTCTTGTGGGTCAGAGAAATGGTAAATCACTGGGAAGGGGCTGAGCACAAAGAAGATGGTATTTCTGCAGGCTTTTCACTCTTGCACAGGGTGAAACAAGACTCAGCTCTGTTTATGCTACACCCTCTTGGCATAGTTTGCATGATTTTACAGACAGAACCATGCAGTAAGACAGATGGTTCAATAAGATGGTGCCAGGAGAAGCTTTGCTGTTTTTCTCCTCTTCCTGTGTAATAAGGAAAGTTTTTATGTACTACCATTGTTAGGCAGCATTTGTCAGGTGATGGCTGCGTTGCAAGAAGATTACAGCTGAGGCTCTCAGACAGTGCGTTCCCATGGGGCTTTTAGAAATTGTGTAGGCTGGAATTCCACGCTGCTTTTGAAGTAAGACTTGCTTCCCCCACGTGTAGATGGCTAGACTGTTTACGTAGTACTGATTTTTCCTTTGTTCCTGGCACTCACTTGGTTTGAGGGTCTGCTCTCAGAGGTGACACCAGCGTGCAGCAGCAGCAGGGCAGGAGAGCTCACTGCTCTTTTCTCTATCAAATCACGTCTGATGCAAAGCACAAGTGCACACTCAAATGGAATGCAACTTCTATAGTAATTTTCCATATATATATATTTTTTAATGTCTCAGTGCAAGAAGTAACCGCACTTCTGCAGTGTTCTTTGAGCAAAAGATGCGTTAGGGTGGCACTGGTTATTCCCCAGTCTAATGCCTCCAGCTTCCTCAGGCTCACTTGCCACCAGCCAGAAACACACTCGATAGAAGTACTTGGGTTGTATTAGCAGCCTGCAAAGTCTTCCATTGTCTGCTGGAGAGTTTTTTTTAAGATAATGTAAACAAGGTCTTAGAGCCCACAGAGTTAAAAAGAAAAGAAATATCCTTTTATGGGAACTCTGTAGGCTTTTTAAATCTGGAATGGATTAAAAGAAACATCACATGTCCTTGTTTGTGCTGATGTCACATGCATTACTCCACTGCTTGTGGTATCTCCTTAGCATTGCCCTTAGGCCTCAGGGCGAAGTGCCAGTGAATATCCAGTGTTCTTGGCTCCAGCCGAGGCTGCTATTCAGGGACTCAGCAGTCAGCTGGAAAGGAAACAGCAATGAAGTAACAGAAATGGATTTTATATATTTATGTCTCAAGCTTTCCTCCTCGGCTGTGGGTGAGGGTGTAATACAGTTTTATAGTTTGGCTTCACTTTCGCTATGAAAGCCTCTTAAAGACTCGAAAACAAGCGATAGTTGAGCAGTGTTTTGTGTCTACGTGCCTGCTGCCATCCGGCCTTGAGGAGCGGGGTGCTCGCACAGCACAGCCGGTTTTGCCAGCTTCTTTTGGGTGTCACAGGGCCGTGCTCAGGTGGTTGGCTTCTGTTCACACGGCGTTGTGCCAGCCAAGCTCTCGCTGTAATATTTGTGCATTCAAATGTACTTCAATTAAGATCACTTTTGTTTTGGTTGAAGTGCTCTCAGCAGTGTTTGCATCCCAAACACAGCAGCCTTCCCCGGTTTTGCTGGTTCTGGTCGGCTGGGAACGGCATTTCCCCGCAAAGAGCTGAGAGGGAGGGACTGCTTTGTTTTGGTTGTGTTTCAGGCCAGGGCTGTGCATTGGTGCAGCAGGCATGGAGCAGGGCTCCAGCACGGTGACAGCCATGTTGCAAGGCTTACTCCAGGGCAGCGACCCTTCAGAAAGTAGGGCCTCAGTCTGTGACAGACTTGGGAGCTATCCCAAAAAAGAGTGTGTTCTTGTTTATTTGGCTTTGTCTTTTTTAATGAAAAAGAAAAAAAATCCGCATGCTGATGCAGAGACCTGGTGACCCGCTGTGAGGGCCAAAGGCAGTGCAGAGTGAAGCATAACATGGAATTTCTTGCTTACTTTTGACCATCTGTAAAGGAAAAACACCTGTGCAAGCTAAGAAAATGATTTACATATTACTGATTTGTTTTGTGTTTTTGTTTCGCCAGCGTGGGACGTTGTACAGGTCTGTTTATTGATGTGCTTGAACAGGTGATCTCAGGCTCCTCAAAGCATTATGCTTCCCAGGACGTAAATGAAAAAACGTAATTTTAAAATAAAAGGTTAGAGAATGTTTTTGAGATTTGCAAATGCCTTTTGGATATTGCAGTTTTAAAGAATTTTCTTCTTCCAAAGAAAAAAAAGCTTTATTTTATTATTATTTTTTTTTTACCTTGTATTTCTTATTCTATTTTTTTTTTTTTTTCAAAACACTGTTGGTAGAGTAAGAACTGATTTATTTGAAAAGATGGTCTGAGAGGTGCTATCAGGTGTCTGGGTAAGTAGAGGATGCTTTGCAGGAGAACCAGGGACGTGCCACATGGGAATAAGAATACAGAATAGTGCTGGATGTCAGGTGTCGCAGGACTGCTTTATGAGCAGGCGTGTGTGGAAAGGGGGTTGAGAAGGTTTAGATCGGAGCCGTAGAAGTCAATCAGCGGTTGGAAAGCAGGTCAGTGTGTGTCCCAGGGATGTCAGCCTGTAAAAGTCCTGTCACTTCGTCTCCCATCTTTGTTAAGCGACTTTCTGAGACGCTCGATCTGATTCAGTCACGGCCGGTCGCACTCCAGGCAGGGCTTGTAAAACACCTCACTGAATGGATTTGCTGTGTGTTTCCCGTCCAGGTTTGAACTGATGCGCATGTGCTGGCAGTACAACCCGAAGATGAGGCCCTCCTTCCTGGAAATCATCAGCAGCATTAAGGACGAGCTGGATCCGGCGTTCAGAGAGGTCTCCTTCTTCTACAGCGAAGAGAACAAGCCTCCGGACACAGAGGAGCTTGACCTGGAGACTGAGAACATGGAGAGCATTCCTTTAGATCCCTCCTCTACCCTCCAACCCACTGACAAGCACTCAGGACACAAAGCCGAGAACGGCCCGGGGGTGGTGGTACTTAGGGCCAGCTTTGAGGAGAGACAGCCGTACGCACACATGAACGGGGGACGCAAGAACGAGCGGGCCTTGCCGCTGCCCCAGTCTTCGGCCTGCTGATCCTTAGACCCAGAATCTGACAGAAACAGAACACGGGAAAACGCGTGTATTGGGGGAAGAAAGAAAGAAAACTACAATATATTCAAAAGCCCTACTGTACCTCAGTGGATCTTCAGAACTGCCATAGCTGCACTTGGGAGAACCCTTTTTTTCAGTAAACAAGTTATTGGTTTTTTTCTTTTTTCAATATGCAAGCAGATGTTTGTTTCGGTAAAGGACTCCATTCATGGGGCACACAGTTGGCCTTTTAAAACTCTAATGTTAACACTTAATAGCAACAGAAAACTTGAGATTTGATGTCTCTCTCTCTCTCTCTCCCCTCCCTCCCTATCTCTTTCTTTCTGTCTGTCTTTGCTTCATAATGGGAAACATATCTGCGTGCAAGTTCAACCGTACGGCACTTTTATCAGATCAAAGATATCGCAGGCCAGGTGGCTCCTGCTCCCCTGCAAGCACCTGCCTAACACTGTAGGTCTTTATTTAAAAAAAAAAGAAAAAAGAAAAAAAGAAAAAACAGGAAAAAAAGAAACAGAAAAAAAAAAAACAACACAAAACAAACAAAAAAAAAAAACAAAAAAAAACCAAAAAAAAAAAAAAAAACCAAAAAAAAAATTGAAAGACTGGATTTTTAATGTTGCTCTTTAAACTTTTTAGAAACGTGTAAAAGAATAAAAAAGGGCCATCATTCGTCCAAGGTTGTTACCATTTTCAACGCTGCCAAATTTTGCCAAAAAATAAAAAAAGAACTTTTTTTTTTTTTTTTGGATTTTTTTTAGGCATGGAAGGAGCACAGTAATCAACTGCTCTGTTTAAGAGAGATCCTGACCAATACATTCTATTCAATCATACACTGGTATTAAAAGGAAAAAAAAAAAATTGTTTAGGTTCTTTTTTTCAAAACTGGATAAAATGTGATAATTTTTTTTTTTTCTTGTGATGGAGAAGATAACAGGGATGGAGTAAAGAAACAGCCCTCCCTCCACCCCGTGCCCATCCCGATGAATTCTGGACAAAACTGGCAGTGGTGAGCTAAACCAACACGTGCATTTGGTACAAAAAAGTCAACCGCACGCCAAAAATGAGATGTGAGAACCATGACAAAAGCGGCAGAGATCTCCATCGTTGCAGCCTGCCTTCCTCCACAGGCTTGCAGGGAAAAAAGCACCAATAAAACAAAAATTGGAGAAGACAAAAAAAAAAAAGCAGTAACCGGATTCAAGTATATAATGCTTTGTTGACCTTTTCTCTTTATGATTAAGACTTCTCGAAGGGTCTTGCAGTTCTATGTTAGACCATGGATCATTTGCATACACATTGTCTTTTGTGTCACTTTTATAACTTTTTTACGGTTCAGATACTCATCTATATGTCTGTACAGAAAAAAGCTGCTATTTTTTTTGTTCTTTATCTTTGTGGATTTAATCTATGAAAACCTTCAGGTCTGCCCTCCTTCCCTTCCCTCCCACTTCAACAAATTTTCTTATGCTTTGTACTATAGTGTGTAACTCTTACTTCTTCCTTCCCAGTAACTGATACCTTTCATATGATTTGCCATGAACTGTTTAATGCCTTTTTATAAATGCATTTCCTCCTCTTTTTCTTTTTTTTTTTTTTTTTTTTCCCATTAGTTGTTTTACAACATCTTGGCTGTGTGGGTCACAGGGCTTTTGAGGAGGACATGGAGAAAGAAGGGACGCCCCACACCGAGCGCTCCAGCAGCGGTGTGGTGTTTTTCAGACCCAGTTTTCCTTCCTTCCCACGAACCTCTGCCCAGACAGCATGCGAGTCTGTTACAGTGCAAGGCATGATACAAACTCAGGTCAGAAAAAAAGGTTAAATATTTAGTACATTCTTGTTCAGTGTTTATGTTCATTGTTGTACAAGGGTCCTGCTCCTCCTTCCCTCCCTGCTTGTTTAGATTGTGGCACACACCCCCCACCCATCCCCACAACACTCCCACACAGACACACACGTGCACACACACACTCTTTTTGTTTGTTGGGTACAACAGCAGACGCCAGGCTTTTGGGTCACTGATTTTGAAAACGACTATTTGAACTCTGCCACCCCTTGAAGAAGAGCCGTATGAATCGTGGCTGGCGGCACAGGGCACTTTTTGGGTGGCCGTTGAACACCTGGCTCCAGCCCCAGCTCTTTGCCTTCCCGATGAGGAGGTCCTCCTGGAGGACGCAGTGGGCTGCATTTTGCACCCCAAGGTAAACAGAACTAAAAACACCCAAATCAACAGCACGCCATTTCCGTGGGGTAGGGTGGAAAGCATGTAGCTGGAGCCAGCGGCTCGGCTAGCAAACAGTTAAGTGTTGGCAGCTATGGAAACCTGTTCAAGTCCAAGCCTGTTGCTTAAGTCATAGACCAAACCTCAGAACAAAAGAAAATGAGTGAGCTTGTTTGTTCAGTTGCAGAAGCCTTGGTGAAAAGGGAAGGAGGGGGCCATCATAAAGCCTACAACCAAGGAGACGTAGCAGTTGCTCATCTTAGTTACAGCATCTTAGCCTTTGTTTAGCACTGATCCAGCCAACTGATGGCAGTGAAGAGGTGGTTCTGGGATGGAAATGTTTAAAACCTTTGAGTAAGAACAAAGACTTAAAATATACTGATTGCTAGTTTTGACTGGAGATTTTTAAAAGTTTGTAGTGCTTTTTGCTTGTGTAGTTTAGGTCCCATTATCTTCTCTTGCCTCTGTCCCATAGTTATTTTTCCCTTTTAAAAATGAAAAAGACAAAAAAGTTAATTAAGAAGGTATTCTATGTAGGATTTTTTATTTATTTTTGTGATATCAGTTTAAATCACTGTAGAGATGCCCCATAATAAATTTAAATACTGAGATAAGGGTTTTTGAGTATGACAGGGGGACAGTTTTTGATTTTTTTCAAACATTTATCTACCTCACTCTTATTTTTTTATATGTGTGTATATAAAAAAAATACATCTCACATTTCTCAGCAGCCAATAAATGCCGTCGATACTGGTAACCTCTCACTCCATAAACCACATGCTCTAGGTTCCGGAGGGGAACAGTCACCGCTCATCACAAAGGGTCACTTCAGAATCTTTGCCTCAATTCCAAGGAGTTTTGCCTTTTCAGTTCCAATCTGGTATTGTGAGGAAAATCCGAGAGTTGCCTGACAGGAGGTGGTCGTTCATTAAGGAAACACGAAGGCTTTTTAGCGGGCCGTCGTGGCAGTGCTCAGGTCAGCAGCAGGGCTGCTGCGTGTTCAGAGGGCTGGAGATCTGACCTGAAACGAGAACTTTTCAGTCTGACGAGTTTCGATCAAATTTGCTACAGAAATGAATTGTTTACAGTGTTTGAAGGTCCAGAAGAATTGCTAGAATAAGGAGAGTGGTCCGTTTGGCCTAAGTCATTCCTGGCAAATTTTCCTCAGATGCCACAAGCACCAAAAAGACATTTGGCTGAACCAGCACCCATTTGGCTCACGTAGCACAGTGTTGCTTTTTTTTGTTTTTGACCAACACAGTGACAAACCTGCTGCAGGCTGCCTGATGATAATACCACGTCGAGTTTACAGCTTTGGATCTTTGCTGCTTCTGTTCAATGAGAGCACTGATTTTTTTATTTTATTTTATTTTATCTTATTGTTTTGTTTTTGTTTTCAAAACTAACATAGAATTGAATTTTTTGATGTGCCAGTAAAGTCAGTTTCCCTTTCATCCCCCGTTTATATGCTTCATAACTGTGGATTCTGATGGACCAGCCATCAAATTTTAACTGCCCTCTGACAGCGTGTAACTGGTTTACAAGCACACAGGACTAACACAGGCTTGCCATCAACATGATGTATAATGTTTCTCTTTTTCCAGCTCAGGCAGCTGTTCGTGCAGGTGTTGGTTGTGGTATCTGAATAATGCGATGCTTGGCTACTTCGAATTGCACGCGGCCTCTTGAATATACAGTGCTGTGGTTGAGTACTGCAGGGCTTGTCTTTGGAGGGATCGTTTCTCTCAGACCCTGAAAAAGCAGCAAATTTAAAGTTGTTACCGTGTCCTTTTTGTCTTTCCATTTCTTTGAAGCTTCCAGTGACCTTTTGGTGCAGTGACTGTTCCCCTCACTTGCACATATTGATTACCACAACTGGAGATCCTCAGATCTTTCAGCTGGCTAGGAGGGTTTTGTTAAAACTGTCCAAGTTATTGGTTTTTATAATTTGATGTAGGTGGTTTAAAAATGTGTTAGGAAGAAACACTAATGACGTAGCACCCATTGTGATAGACATTTCAAAAAGCACTTCAATAGAAAACAGTGACGGGACTAAAAGTACGCACGTGTGATGACAGTCAGCTCTCCTGGACCAAACCACCTTCATGATACCATTGTGTTCTGTGTTTGCAATTCAGGCTTAATTACTTTTTTGTTCTGTTTGTTTCCATAGCGTTTTTTGTTGTGTTTTGTGCATTTTGAATAGCTTTATTCACATGGGCTTTTCATGCAGACTTCCCTTGGACAGTAAATCAAGTTGTTTATGCATGTGAACAACTGAGAATTAATGTTGGCTTGATAGAGTCATAATATGGTTTGTAATGTTGTTCTTTCCTGAGACCACTGGCTTGTCTGGTATGGTAAATTTATTCAGAACTTCGACTGTGTTTGAATAAAGTTCAAGTAATCCAGTTTCCTTACAAATTAAAAACAAAAGCCCACCCAGCCCCCAAACCCAGCGTTTTGACAAACATTACCAAGCTGTTTTGATGCAGTAGAATAACAAGCTGGCATCACTGCAGGGGCAGGCTTTGATTTCAGCACTCGGGCCATTGTTCTCACCTGCCTCACATTTAAAAGCTTCTCAGTGGCACGGAAGGTGGTTTGGTTGCAAAGGAAGGTGGCTCCTGTGTAAGCACAGAAGTGTCAGCTGCTTGGTACTAAGAAGCGCTTTTGAGCGAGAGATGAGTTGGACACAGAAGCCAAGCGTGATTGGAAGTTCGAGGCCAGCCTGTGTTCACCAGGTCTTTCTCAGCGTGACGCCTCTGTTCTTTAAAGCTGGTTCTAAGTGATGTATGATTCTAGAGATGTTCGCACTGATGCTCCTGTTGGTCTTTAAAAACAAGTGAAGCCCAGTTTGCCCAGGACCGACTGGTCACCAGGCGGAACCGCTGTCAGGTCCTCTGGGAACTGCCGAGGGTTGTTCCGTACAATCTGAGTCTAAGCGAACAACACTCCTGTTGTTGGTGTAACTCCATAAGTATATATCTATATGGACATAGATATCCGCGTGTGTATGTCTGTAATATAGATATATATGTATTTAAATCCTATTCATTCCACTAGTGCAAGTAACACTTGTTTCCTGTTGTTCTTATTTTGTTTGTCAACGGTGTATTTAATCACTGGGCTAAACAACAGCGGAGGAAGGTGCAAGGGGTCCACTCCTTACTAACCAGTGATAAAAGCCAGATATTGCAACTTAACCCATGAGTAGTTGTGCAGACAAGAATTTAAGAATGGTGTGTAGAAAATAACAGTAGTGGCCAGAGGTGCTGAAGATACAGAACTGTAAATAGGCAGGAGGGCATAAAGGTTGCCTCAGTTGAGGAAACTGGCTGCTCAGAGGCAGTAAGCAGTCTCTGTTACGGAGTGCAGCCAGGTAAATCAGAACTGAGAAGTGCTTATATGGAGACATCTGAAAACAAAAGATATGGAAAAGGATGTTTACGAAGACACAGGGCTTGGCAGAAGCTTATAGTTGTTTCCTGAGCTTGGTGTGCGTGGGGCAGCAGCAGAGCTCAGGTGTCACCATTCTGATCATCGGTGCTTGTAAATAAACCAGACTTTCCAGCTGAAGCGGTAAACTCGTAACAGGAGTTCAGTGGTTGTGGCATTGGTCTGTATGAGTCAGCCTCAACCTTCTGTTGGTCTGTTTTGCAAGTACCAGATCATCACCAGTTGTGTGCGTGCGTATGCGTGCGTGTCCACCTTTTTTGTGCGCGTTCTGTTGATTAGTAATCCATTAGCATTTTCAATAGGGCTTTAAGTCCAGTAGATTACGGGTAGTCAGTTGACGAAGATCTGGTTTACAAGAACTAATTAAATGTTTCATTGCATTTTGTAAGTACATAGAATAATTTTATAAAGTGTTTGTAGTTTATTAATGCCTAAAATATAATTTAAGGGCACTTTTTCTGTCTGTGTGTGCGTGTGTCTGTATGAGATCGGTTTTCTTTGATGGTACCAGTTTACTAGCTAGCTTTACAATATGCCAAAAAGGATCGCTAACTCGTCCAATTCAAGGCTCATCCCTCTCCCACTACCTGCCCAAGCTTTGTGTCTCAGTACATAGAGAACGAGTAAAGAAGTTGAGGAAATGTTCTGTATCTTCAGCATCCTGGTCTTCCAGAGCCCTCTAGTTGGGGTGGGATCATCTTAACTGGTCATTTCACTTTGCTGTCTAGTGCAGTGAACTTAACGGATTGCAAGAACCTCACTGGTTGGGAAAACAGAATGGGTTTTGCTGCTACACAGTCTCACTTGTGCTGTTCAGTACCTGTTTTATGGGTGCCAGGTGGTTTGAAGGAAATGACTGCATAAGAGAAAGCGGGAAGGCAGTTTTTGTAATTACAATTGAAGAACTATTTGCGTATTTCTTATCACTTTAAAAGTTTGTATGCAGCCTCTAAAGATGCTGAAGCATTACCATTTGAAGCTTTGTTGAAATAAGCAAAGCAGGGTCCCTATTTATTTTTATTTAAGAATACTGAAGATCCCTGTTTCCCCCTGAAGTCTGACTAACTGCATTTCTGAAGCGTTACGATGATTTAGATGCTATTTAACGATCAGCTCTTCTGTTTTCTAAACCAGTGAGGTTTGAGATGAAAGGATTGGCCAGAGTTTGTCTACCTCTGGGACAAAAACAAAACTAGAAAGTGCTAAGGAATGGATGCAGTTGCAAATACGACATTTTCTGAGTTTTCTTGTTTAGATTTTTTTAAGAGAAAATTCAACAATAACATGGCCAATTTATTACATAAAAAAGACTTGCTGTGTATAAATTATTCCTAAAGAAATTCCTGTGTTTATATTAAAATGAATCAGTAGATAAAAAAAAAAAATTCAAAATGTTTTTGTATATTCTGTTGTAAGAATTTATTCCTGTTATTGCGATATACTCGGGATTCTTTACATTATGAAAAGAAGAAACTTTGTCTATTTTGAATGGCTGAAGCTAAGGCTCCATTAGTTTCTCTTACTCTGCTTTTTTCTAGTAGTTTCAGTACTACCTGATTTAAGTTAAATAAAAGAATTCTGTATGCATTTGTCTGCTTTTGAATTTGTTGTTCTTCATTGCAAAGCAAGTGCAGCTCAGAAGACTCAAGACTTTTTCTTCTGCACTTCTGGCTGCATTTAGTTGAGCAACTCTGAAAACGATCTTCGTAGAGGTCAGTGCTGCCATTATGCCGTGTTGAAGTCAGAAGTATTGTAATCCAGTGACACTAACCTTTGGACCATTTGTCAGCAGGACTTGATTCATTTGAATGAGGAAAGTCTTTTTCTTTATTTATTTGAAGGAAATCCTTTCGTTTGCTGTTACAGCAATGCATACATGAGGCATTCAGCCATCCAGTACAAAGTTATCAGTTTTCTGCAAATGTTGTTAGAAAAATAGCGACAAGAAAGCTAGCATTATCTTGGCATTTACAATTTCTCTGAGTCTTGTCATAAAAGTCTTGACTGAGGCACAGTGGTGGCCCAGAGCTTGTTCAGGTGTCTGTGCCATTAGGCTATCCTTGTCTCATGTCCTTTTTACTGACACAACACTAGAGCAATGAGCTTTCTTTTCCCTTAGAAAAATCCCAGGTGTCCACGTCAAGATGCTGCTCTTCTGTTCCGGTGATTGTTTTTGAAAAATACTTGCTGGTTTTATGTCATAATTGTCTGTCATGGTACAAGTAAAACTGTGTGCATTGACATTCCCTGTGAGCTAAAGAGGACACACTGTAAACCTCTGTCTTGCCCAGCCTTAATAGAGCAGTGCTTCTGTATGTAGCCATGTCTGAGACACCGAGGAGCCTGGCTTGGCAGGGGAGAAGCTCAGAAGTGATCTGTCAGTGTCTGATCCCAAGCTTTATAAGTTGGGATCTCATTTGGTTCCTGTTTTGTAAGAAAGATAATGTGCCATGACATTCCACTGCGCGGAGCTTCACTGCTCGCCTTTCTTGGGACAAGTTGGCTTGTTGATTTTGATGTACAAATCCCTGCATAGCATGACCCATTGTACTGAAAGGCTGTTGTCTTTGTGCTGTGCTTTGTGGAAGGACAGCAGTGTTTTCCTCTGGGACATATGCTGAGAATTTGGGGAAAGGGTGTTTTCAGCCAGTTGAAACTCAAAGAGCTTTACAGTGTCTGCCAGGTTCCAGCTTTTTTTATATTAATCACCCCAGATCTGTAGGCTGTTTTGTCTGTGAAAGCCGGCATGTACAGCAGGTCTCAAAGAGAAACTGAAAAAAACCTTCAAAATAACAGGATCTCTACCTGTGTTTTATTTTTCCCTCATATTTAAAGTTTATATATGGGCAGCTTGTGTTAGATGAACCTGTGTCACTGCACTTGAACAGGGACTTGGGGAACTTTGTGGTATCAGTGCTGAATGTCCTTATGGACGTAAGAATGGATCTTGATTCAACAAGTCTGCAGTAACATCTTTTGACATTCGCTCTGCTTTGCTTTGTTTTAATTAGATTTTTTAAAAACATGCTTTTAAAAGATTTTAGGAAATACACAACCATTTTTAAGTCCTGTTTTTTGCACTTTCGTAAATCTGAAGCAATCTTAGTGTTACAAACTGTCACTTTTTGTGGGTTTTTTTTTTTTTCTTCCCCTCAAGATTTTTATAGCAGAGATGGAAACAGTTGTTTGGTTTTTGTAAGGAGATTTCCCTGAAAATAACTTGGAATAAAATCTTTAAGGGCTTTAAATAATCATTAGATTTGCTACTTCTAAGAGATAAGAAATTCCATTTTAAGAAACCTCCTTTTTCCTTCTGTTCCATCTTACTCTCTCTGTTCCCCACACTGTTTTAACATTTCTAAGATAATTGTCTGTAATGCTTTTCCTAGGGAGTCTGCTGTTACCGACTTTGATAATGGAGGCACATGGATGAAAGCTGCTCTTCCAGCGCCGTAATACAGGGAAGTGTAATAGGTGTAATCACAGATGTACCTGAAATGCAACGGACAAAACAGAAACAGAAGCCCAAATTAAGAAACAGTAAACTTTGATTAAATTTAAATATTCATTAGGTAGCCAAACCAGATCTGGTTCACAAAAATATTATTTGCTTGCTGAGTAAAGGGAATGCTGAAATAAAACTGGTCTGAGAAACAGATATTTCATATCTGATTGTTACTGTCTCAGACACTCAGAAGCAACTTAAGAAATAATAATAGAAATAAATAAATCATAACACATGCATTCTCTTCTAGGTTTCTGTAAGCTAAGTCAGATGAGAAAGCTAATGCAGCCTCCCAGCACTGCAGCCATACCATTACAGCACATCAGTAAATTTCTTTGTGGAGGTCATACAGGCTCACCGCTAACCTTTTTTGTTGTTGTTTATCATCTTAACCTTTTAGCTTGCAGATCCATATCCTAAAAACACAGGATGAGATCAGCTATATGTAAAAAAACAAGTTACACTTTGTTTTGTTTTCCTTTTAACTGAAGAAAATTTGAATCCTACAGTGAGATCACAGATACTGTTCTAAAGGTACCGATAATTGCTCTGTTCCTCAGTGTGTGTATTTACATTTTATATCTCTCCCAGTTGGGAAAAACAGATTAAAATCTCCCACTAGTCAGTTTTGCTTTTAGACTCAGAAAGCACAGGTTTCCTGGGGTTGCTCATTGCAGTGTGCTATGTTGAAACTTGTTTCTTTTGCAGTCCATGGAAAACTATCTACTGACTGAAGGCTTCTCTACATAAAATTTAAATTTGTCCTCATTTTATACTTGTGACACTTGGAAGTCTTTACTTCAAAGTGATTTTGGTGAGAGGAGAATTCATTGCAGAGACTCTTCAAGGTTAAGTGAGCTGATTGAATTACTTCTGCTTTTACTTTGAGGCCTTGATACACAATATTTACCTTCCCGCATCTCTGGAAAAGATGATATCAATTCCTTCCACTGAAATATTTTTCCAGATAGTCTTCAGGTTAATTGTAGATTCAATCTTTTCCGGACCATCTAGCATGCAGCAGCCACCTTCTGGGTGAAAACCACAAGCATCCATCTCTTCATAGCCTTTGTTCTTCCCACACTGCTCAAGGATGATGATTGCTTTGCTGGATGAAGCCAGCCCAACGTGAACAGCAAGCTGTTTTTTCCCACCAGAGTGAATAACAGGAAATTAAAAATGAGACTTGTTTTTTGAAAACATGTAATGCAGGAGTGCCAAGCATTATGTGAAATACTGTCTTCAAGGTGGGAAGCCTTGCTGTAGCTCATGCTTCAAGATAGCTTTGATAAGAGATTATAAATGAGAACCAAATTGTGGTTTTTTTGTTTTTCGTTGTTGTTGTGTCTACTCAACTCCACACTTCAAAGCTGAAATTTTTTTCTCGTTTTTTTCCCTACCATTTACGTAGGTAGATGTATTTTTCTTTGTTCTGCATGCAGTTATACTGTTTACGTGGCACAGGATTAAAGTGGCATGCTAATTAATTTGTGCTCCAAAGTTGTTTGGAGCCTTCATCACCGTTTGTACAGTCACTGTCCAGAGCTGCCTGATACACATTGTGCAATAATCTTTTGGAGATCTTTCTAAAGATTTACCAAAAATATTATTTAGAAATGAAGGGGAAAATTGCCCAACGTTGTGACTACTCACTATTGGATGAAGAGTTGTCCATATCCTGAAGATTTGTTCCTTTGCTTTTTGGTAAACCACTGGTAGCTGCATGATACGAAGATCAATGTTTTTTCCAAGGCCTCTCTTGGACAGCTCCTATAGATACAAAAAACAAGCCAACAACTGTGATGGATGTGTAAGAGCAGTGGGTTTTTCAGTGTGACGTAGAAATCAGGCTGATTCAACTGAGCAGATCCGGAAAGCAGTGTGTCACTGCGTAGCCCTGTTGTTCCTTGCTCTACAGCGAGACCCAGTTCTGATGACAGCTCTCCGTTTTTATTAAAGGAAAGTCAGCTGTACAGAAGAATTTCTTAATGTCACATCCGTGTTGAGCCATGGTTGTATTTTCCAAAAGGGTGCTCAGCCTCCAGTGTGTGGTTTGTGCAATCCTGATGTGAACTGGCCCATGGGGAACCATGAAATACAGAATTTCTCAGAAAAGATCCACATCTAGTAGGCTTTGATATAGGTAAGCTGTTCCTCTGAAAGACAAAGTAGATAAACCTGAGCTTCTGGAGAGACACAAATGGGAGAGAATTCTCATTAGATGTCACTTGGATAACATTCCACCTGCTGTCCTGAACTTGCTTCTGAAAACCCTTGCTCAAAGTGAGTGTCAGCACAGTAGCATGTTGAGATAGGAGTTCATTTCTTTTTGATCTAGAATGTGTTTCCCCGATGAAAGAAGGAAATGTTATTTGTTGGAATGTTACTTCTTTGTTATTGAGTTGAAGTTCTGCATGGGGCCTTTTCCCAAAGGAAACAAAAATTACGCCCAGGACTGAGATAAAAGAAAAAAAAAAAAAAAAAGGCATCCTTTAAAACAGCAGGTTGGCTAGATGTGTGCAAGATGGTCTTGATAGGAGTCAAGGATGAGCATCATGTGGTGATGCCTTGAATTATTTTGTCAGTGGAACAGGGCTAATGAAGAAGCCATAAGCCTTTATGAAGAACGTAAATACTGCAGTGGCAGGATGCAGAAAGAATACAACTGAGACAGAAAGCTTTGTCCCAGTGAAGCGAAATGGTGGTTGAAAATCCCTGTTACATCTTAGTAGACCACTACAAAAAAGTGTACAAATTTTCTGAGTTTCTATGGAGGGCATGGGCAAGAAGTCACCAGCAACAGTATTTGATAGTCCGAGAAACTTGTAACTTTTTCAATGTCATTGTTTCCTCAAGCTTTCCTTTCTTACTAAGGATATTTGCGTGCATGGGGCTGAGTTTACTGGGAAATTTGCCCTTCAACACTGGCTTCCTATATAAACTGTTCCAATTTTCTTGTCAGCGGAAACATTGATTAGCTGTGCTCAATAAACTATTTGACACAAGCAAGGAAACAATGCCTGCAGGGAAGTAAACACATTTAGAGAACACTGCCAGCCTTTTTTTCCTCTGGGCGCTGACAGTCTTTGAGAGGCCATTGCATCATCTTGCTTAAGAATGCTGTACTGTGTCCTAGCGTCCAAAAAAGAAAACCCCAGCTGGTTCACAATTAGCATTTTATTTTCTCAAGCATTTTTAATTTTAACATTGAATGAGATTCTTCCTTTTTAACTATAGGACTTAAAGTGCTTGGCTATCCACAAGTTTAGAATCAGAAGACCCAAAGTTGTATAAACTATTGTAAGCTGTTCTTTCCTTGTGCTGTCTGGATTGAGGTTCTTGTCGCTCTCTGTCGTAGAGAAATGCAGAAATTCCTTTTGTGCAGGACAAAATCAGAAGCTGGCCAGTAGCCCAGGGTTGGGAATTTGTGTCAAAGGATGATGGTTGGTTCTGTCCTAAGGAATTATAGCACATTGTCAATAATGTGATTATTTTGTTATTCAGGAATCCTAAGCATGGACTTACACTCCATTACACCACATGTTGAGCAAACAGAACAAAAAAAAAGGTTGTTCCTTGTCTCAGCCATAATCAAAACGATTTTTACATTTAATGTGAGAATCTGAAGATGAGAAGGAACGCTGAATCCCACACTGGTGAATCAATTCAGTAAACAGCCTGTCTGCTGTAGTTGAGACAGCAAAGAAAACACTGAGAGACTATAGAACCTATGGAGAACTGCTTTTTATTTTTTATTTTTATTTATTTTTTGTATTTTTGTGGGAAAAGTGGTTCAAAAGAAAACAAAGTTGTTGCTGTTGGAAAGTCTTCCTAAAAGGAAAATAGAATCCAGTATTATCAGTTGACAACCTGGAGTTGTTGGTGAGTTGTGATCACAACCACAGCTCATTGGAGTTCTGGCTCATGCCCATGCATAGCCCTCTCCGAAGAGAAACGATCTGCACAGAGCAGTTGAGGTCAGAAGCAGTGGTTGTGTGTTACACTGAGTGTGACAAACAACCTCAACTTTTAGAAACTCCAGAACATTTCACAGATCTTCTTTGAGTTTTCACAGTTTTGGGTTGCCAGGACGTTAGGGAGTGGGGAAGTCGGTTGCATGTGTTAATTTTGTGCACCTCATTCAGAAAGTGGTTGATGCAGTAAAAAAAAAGTCTTTTTTTTCCTTTTAATCCTGCAGATAGCTCTTTAAAGTGTTAGAGATATAAGAAAGTTCCAGAACACAAATGAAAGAACTAAATAGCAACGTCTTATTTTCACAGATGATGAAACCAAAGCAGAGAGGGAGAGAGATTAAATGACACATTTCCAAAGACCACATGGTCAGCAGCAGAATGAAAAACTGCGAGCAGAGGTCTGATCCTTGTCTCCTGATATCAGACGTAGTTCCCAGAAGCAGTTGGAAATGTGACCTGTTGTTTGCACTAACAGTTTAATTGCTATGAATGCTGTCACTCAACTTACACTTGTGCCCCACTAACTGGGGAATTCGACCTTGATGGTAGGTTGCTCTGATAGGATATTTAGCTGCCAAGTGCCAGACGTAGGCTTCTGGAGGAAATATATAGCAATGGAGTTGGATCAAGGGGTGTTGGGTGGGACCATTGGTCTGTAAGATGGAATAAATGGTTCAGGAGATCTGAGATTCTGAGGGTCCCACGTGGTTCTGAAGAACACATCATAATAACTCTGTGTGATCTGTCTGCAAATGTGGTGTTAACTCTCAGTGTTGTTTTTCTCCAGAGAGAATGTTCTGCATTTCAAGAGTTAAGAATTGCTGGTGGAGCTTTCATGCATGTATCAGGAGGGTATTTCAGGTGAGTGCAGTTGTGAGAACCATGAAAAACTGAGTGAGGCAGGTTTCCAAGAGAGAATCTGTCTTTCTAGTGCTAGGCAACTATGTTGGGCCATGTGACAATGTCTGTAAAGGCCCTGAAGTTTTCCTCAACAACTCTGAATTGACAGGTTTGCTGGTACTTTCTGACTCTTCTGATTATCCCTTTCCCTAAACACTCAAGGAGCGCTTGCTAAGGAATGACGGATCCACAGTGATGCTGATGGGTGCTAAAAGAGGAAATGCAAAACAGTGCACTGCTGCACAGTATCAATAAGAAATCTAAGAACTCAGAACAAATGCTCTTCCTAAACTAACAGTGATCTGTAAAGTCTTAATATTTATCATCTGGTTCCTGAGGATGTCAGAGAAATCAGGTTTTCTGCTGACTGTGAGGGACTACATAGTTAGTTTGTAAGAGAAACAACATCATGCTAATTTTTTTGAGTGACCAGTAAGGGTATAAAAGGGATATTACTCTTGGAACAAGATGTGTGCGCACTGGATTGATCTTTGATCTTTCTTCCAGCAAGAAATAAGCTGTAGGAAAATTGCTGATCCTATCAGCAAGCCGAAGAGTGAAAGAGCATCTTACAGTGAAGGTGGCAACAGAGATCTTGAGGAAGCAAATGCACATAAGAGTGAGTGCTGCGCACAGAAGTGAAGGCATTGCTCTTTGGCAAGGCCCCATTCCAAGAAGCATAGAGGGAAGGCTATGCTTTGAGAATTATAACCTGAGACTCCCAATACATGCACTTCTACAGGAATTGGTATGTTTTGCATGTGAGGACTCTCCTGGAATGTGCTCTTACTTGAGATGATAGATATCAGTGCTGCAGCTCTGCAGCATCTCTGAGACTGCCGTGGCTTTTGATAAGAGTGCAGCTCAGTCTGAGGTAGTAATTAGGATAGCTCTGGGTAATACTATGCAACAATTAAGCCTTAGTAATCATGTTTAGTATGTAGCTCTGGTGTGGCTGCTCAGTACTTTGAGTGCACTCTTGCATGATTCTCAGGAAAGAGACTCCGCAGGAGGGCTTTATGTCACTTTAGTGATCCATGCAGTAACTCCAAGCCAAGTTAGGATTACTTTCAGATGTAAATTCTACATTTTGCTGTCTTTAATATATGTGCATAAGCTTCCTCAAGACCATTGGGCTCATATGAGCAAGGCTAATGGAACAATACCATGAGATTGCTATTTAGTATCAAAAAGCCTATCGAAATTCCAAGTACTTCCAGATTTGTAACAAATTTCCCTGAGTTGTCTGGATTACCCACCTTTGCCAGGGAATCGGAAACCAAAGCAGCATGGCCAGTACGAATACAAATTAATTCCTCACAGAGGGTGTCACATCAGAGAAAAATGGGTTTGTACTCTATACACAAGAACTGACATCTGTTTCATTATAGACTGCTGCAGTCCATGTTATATAACTTCCTGGCATAGCAAGTGCATGCCATTGTTACAGAAGACTCATCAGTGTATTTTGGTGTTGGGCTGTTTTGCTTGCAGATAAATAACATGGTTTCACTGGGAGGTGGGTGATATTGCATCCAAAATTAGAGCCAATGGGACCCAGGAAATAATGAGCAAGAATATTGTCAGCTGACAAATATTTGTGGTTTAAATCACCTCAAGTTGGAGCTGAGATAATTTATAGGTATTCTGTGATGACTGGAAAGTGGAAAGGTAGAACACAAGTGCTTTGTTTTTTTTTTTCTTTCTTATTAGCCCACAGGGATGACATCCCTCATGACTTAGGGTAGATAATAGATACATTTTTCCAAACAGCAGCTCGCACTTGGCGCTCCCCGTCCAGCAAAGCTAGAAGCCTTGGTCTTTGGAAATATTTACTAGTTCCTTGTTTATTTATTCATCATCTCTTGACTTGTCTGCACTTCATTTTCAAGACAGATCTTCAGTAGCTGTCACCTGAAATTGTAATACAGTTACAGTCCTGTAAGGTCACAGTCTTTCTATCACTACTAGCATTATCTTACAGCTGTTTTTTTGATTCCAATGTCCAGATCAATTAAAGTTAATTATTATGGGCTTATTCCATTTCCTCTAGTAGACCATAATCTCCTCAGTTTGTTTTGTATGTCTAACTTTCCATTTTACCAATATTATCTGTTGTGTTGCATATGCTTCACCAACATTCCAATTAGTTTTTATTACCTTGGTTGTTCTCCAGCTAGTTTCAGATTTCATTGCTAACCTTCTTTCTACTTAAGATTGATAAAAACTTGTGTGAAAGACCCTTTCACAATAACTCTGCTCATAAACACTTGAAGAAAGTAATGGAACCCAAGGAATGGCCATTGTCTGTGCCAGGAGATCTAGGGTCAAAGCTTAGACCTTAGGTGTAATTTGTGCATAGACTCGGCAAATCTCTGTAGTTGTTCCTAATGATTAAGTATGTATATTACGACCTTTCACACTTTAGATTGAGCTACAGTATTAAAGTATCAAACTAGTAAATCATCACCTTGGAGCATACAATGTCTTATCTACTAGGGGCGGGTGTTTGTTTTGTAGGGCATATTTAAATATGGAACTTATGCACAGCTCTTAAGATACACACAATTTAAAAAAAGAATAATTGTGTTCTGGGAAATCATTTATTTGTGGAAATTTTTGATACTGGCTACTCAATGTAAAGTCACACATTCTTATTTGAAAATAACTGTAACTGAAAAGTTTACGCTGAAAGCCAGGTATGCAAACAATGTTTTTATATAACCACCACCCTAGATTTGCTCTAATGCACATATTTAGGAAATAATCAGGAATATTCAGGACTCCATCTTAGACATGCTGCAGCTACTGATAGAATCAAGGTGTCTGGATTGGGGAGAAATCTGAATGATCTTGCTTTCAGTGTTAACTGCAGACTTTGCTGTCTTTTGAAAGTGGAAAGCAAAGCTAAGATGTGAAAACGTACTTAGAATAGACCTGCTTACATCCTGTGTTCCTGAAGTAGGCAGTAACAGCTTCATAGTGGATAAGAAGGAAATCACCTCACATAGGTTTACAGAAGGCAGAGATAACTTATGGCACATGCACTGACTGCAGACAAGGAACAAATGTCCGTTAGACTTCTAAAAGTGCTCTGAAAAAAACCTTGCCGATCACGTTCACTTCTTCATTATTTTCTTCCCTCTGTGTCTGTTCCAAAAGCTGCAGTTCTGTTTAGTAAGAAAAATTACTGTCTTGGAAGGAATGTAAAGCCCAGAAACAGATTGTCTTTGGATCTCCACAAAATAAAACACCTCCCTCCCTTTTTTTTTTCCTGCTTACCTTCACGGCTTCCCAGCTAGAATTAACCAGGTATTGTCTAAAGGGACCAAAACCTGAAAAGGAAAGAATGTGCTTTTAACTTATCCTTGCTCTGCAAGGTTAGATTAGCTGACAACTGGTATGTAATCACATGTTTGTACTTCAATATTTTTTGTTACAGAGGTTGATTTTTTTTATTTAATATATTATTTAGCCTCTATGACATTCAAGGGAAGGGTCAGCACTTTTTCAGATGTGCTGACATAGTAGCTAATCCTACAAGCCTTATGAGGTAAACTTAACTGAAGCTGCTAAATGTTTTGGAGCCAAAAGAGCCCCGTTCATGTAAGTGATGATTTGGGGAGAATATCATTAGCCACAGAAATATTAAACTAAATTGATTGGTGTCAACAATCCCAGGTCGCTGTCATTGTACCTTTCTTGCTGTGGAGAGCTCAGGAAGATGAAAGTACACGTCTGAAAGAGTAAAACTTGATTTCATTTAGTTTTACAATTTCTTTTGTGAGCTACTTTTTTATTTAACAAAAAGACAAAAATTGTTTTGATTTGGATGGGCATTTTGTCATCTAAAAGTTTGATGGAAAGCTCCCACTGCCTTTATTAATCTCAATTACTGCTCTCAGTCCAGTGTGTTGGAAAGTCTTAGACACTGGGCAGCAGGAAAACTGGTCTGTGAAATGGTTGTAGTGCTTTACACTTTAAATATTTAAAAATCCACAAATGGACAAATAAATACTGACAGTGTATGGTTACTCCTTTGCACATTAAAAGTTACTTGTATATGGGAATAGTTGAACTTACATTATTAAACTTTACAACAGCTTTAATAATTAATGATATATTTTAAGCATTTCTTAATTTGCTGATGCTTGTTTAATAACTGCTTGATCTTTTCTCTTTAATATGATGCAAAGCCTGGTGGTAGTTGTATTGCAATTGCTGCAATGATTTCCCTGGGATTGGGAAGCAGCACTCATTTCACATTGATAGTGAAGAAAAAAATCTCTCTGGCTAGATTTACAGAGTGAAATTAGGGAGACACTCACCCCATTTTGAAGCTGCAGTTGTTGTGCATGTTGGGGTACCTGCATGCGTGCAGAGTTATAACAACGCTATTAAATAATCTGGAGTTGAATTCATGCATCCCAGCTGTGGCTGTAAGAATCCACTGCTTGGGATAAATTATTCTATGTAACAAAATAAATGTAGGAGAGTTTTACAGTACTGAAATTCCTGCAAAAACTTCAAGAGCTAACAGGTTGAATATTATTACGCACTATATAATAAACTGGGCTCACTGCCAGCAGGTTTATATTACGAGCAGGTGAGAATGTGACAGAGGCATGCTGTGATAATCTCTGTAATAGCTTGAAGATGCACCTGTGTCTCTAATGGGACACACTAGACTAAAAGCATTTGAACAAGTATATTTCTGTACCTAAATGGCAATGTAAGGGGAGAAAAAACCTAACAAGGTGCTAAGAAGTGTGCCCATCAAGGGTACGTGCTATAAATATCATAGGGAGAACCAGGTTGTCAGCCTTTTAAGAGGTTAGCAAATACCTCTTGCTCTCTCCTGCACTCCCATTCATTTCAACTGCAGGTTTTTGGAGCAAGCCAAACTAGTTCTGCTCATCTTGGAGCTATTAAAAAAAAAAAAAAAAAAAAGTGTTTAATTGAAAACAGCAAGATGCAAATCTCTTTGATGTAGCTTCAACCTCGTTCCTGTGTCCTCGGTTGACCTACAGTGGAAAATTATCCTGCAACTCACATGTCAAGATATGTGTAATGACTGCCTTTAGATGAGCCAGTGGCAATGAGAGGGACAGCGAGTCGCAGCGTTCCTTAGGAGCTTTAACCTTTTAAAGCTAGTAGTCTCTAGCTGGTGGCTCTGCCACTGTAAATCAGCCAGCAAGAAAAAGAACAAATTCTGTCCCTTATGCTGCACATTCACACATGTTCTTTTGATATATTTAAAGTTAATGGTCTAGTTCAGCAGTGGTGAGGCAGCATCGACTGTTCAAATTTCTCTTACCTTGCCGTGACACTGAGACCCTGAAACTTGCCATGTGTGGTTCTAATTCTGGACACTGACTACGTGACATTGTGATGCAACCTGGTTTTGCTGCTTCAGAGCTCCTTTTGGGTAAGCTTTATCTAATACTAGCCTGCACTGCCTTGAGCTACGTGGTTTGGATCAGAGAGAATGTCAACAAAGATTAAAACATGGAGAGAATGAGCAACAAACCAAACTGGATGGCAGTAAAGAGGGCATGCTGCAGTTTGTTTCCGCTGACATGTATCTTAAGAAGGCACAGCAGTAAGTTATTTTCTATTTGGAATTGTAAGTATGACCGTTTGCTACTGTTTTTCCCTCCAGGGAACTGTTTATGACAGAGATCAAGCATGTATTCATACCATCTCTAGCTAAAAGGAGAAGAAAATAAAAATAAAAATCTTACCAGTCACAACCACAATGTTGGAATTTGAATCCATGCTCCAAAAGGTGAAATCTCATCGACTTGCAGTTCCAAACAGTAGTATCAGCATTCATGCATCTGTGGAAAACTTCCTCATCTGGGGCATCTATTTTTTGATTCAAACCGTTCTGAAGCATGCAGATTTCTATTGGATGAAGAAAGTGTTTTCATAAAGCTGAGATGGGTTGGGATTCACACCAGAGGAATGATTTCTGTCCCATGGAACTTTCAAAACAAATTGTTACACCTGCATATTAAAGGCAGCAGGTTACCTCAAGAACAGAAAAGGCTGCAAGAAACTTTTTGCAAAATGTCCAGCAATAAAATATCCAGCAATACTTTGCATCAGAAAACTGTATATATACAAGTAAGCAAAACTAATTGAGTCACTTTTAGTGTATGTCTGTGGATATTGTATTCTTATCACTGCTGTAATTCTCTTTAATCGTGAAGAACTACTGAGCTAAAAACACGTACCTCTGTTTCCACTCTATTCAGTGTTAGGGTTAGTTTCTTATTATCTATAAATACATAGAGGTAACTTTCCTGTTCTCCCTCACAGCACTTACCTCATTCACTCATCTTCAGCTTTATCTTACATTACTTATTAAACTCCCCAAGCTCCTTACACTTTAAAAATAAACATTAACAGGAAAATATGTATTTGCTAAAGCAAAATATTTACTTGGTACGATTGAATGGACAACACATAGCAAAACTTCAGTCCAAATTAAAATGTCAAAGGAAATCTTGAGGCAGTGAGTTTAATAGCTGGTGTGTCTTCATTAAACTGAAGTGCAAAAACCAATAGGGGGCCTGAAATCAAAACATATGCACATTGTCACTGCCCAAAACAAAAGCATATGAAAGTCCTCTTGGGAATTAGAACTATGTGGGCAGAGGGTTTTGCTGAGTCTTGTTTTGAGTAGGAAGTATGTGCATGTGTGTGAGAGAGAGGAGAGAAATAAACTAAGAATAGAAAGTTGCTGTGCATTCTCAAGAGAGATGGTAATTATGAGATCCTAAGAGAGAAAATCCCTGAAGAACTCTCCTGGATTGGCTGGTGGCCGAGCAATGTTTGGAGTTACAAGCTGCTTCTGTCCTTTGAATCCTCCTAAACTGAGAGTAATTTGTGGATTCTTTTTGATAAAATGACACTGATTCTATCACCCCTGTCTCTCCCTGGCTAATAGAGCTTGCAGAACTGACTTTTACTAGCCACTGAGGCTGAAGGAGCAGCCAGTAAACCAAATGGGAAACTGCAGCTTTAAATAAGGTAAAATTTACCACTCCCATCAGTGAATTGCATTTACAATTCCACTGTCTTTCTTTTTCCTAGGTCAATCAAGATGTGTTCATGCAGTTTATGTGTTTGCAGCTATGGGTATTTGAGGCGTGTGCCTGTTTGTTTCCTCATCCACAATTAAGAAAACAAGCCCTGGATATTTGAGAGCAGATCACAGACACAGCTGACTCAGCTCAATACTGTTTGTTTTTTTTCCAGCTGCATACAGATATGATTGACATGGTGTTCATCTTGAAGTGAGGAAGAAATGGAAGCAACTCAACTATGAAAATGCTGGTTATCACTCTTAGATGGAATACAGTGTCACAAAAACAGAGGAGACAAACATTTTGGTGTAAAGCTTGCTGTTCTCTATGGGTCAGTGCCCATGAAGGAGAAACAAACTCAGTAGAAATGGGAAATGGAAAAATGTTATAGCAATTTCACTGACATTTTTTTTTGAACAACGTTGCCTTGTTTATGGAAGTTCTTCTGCAGTTTGTTCTATCGGTGCATGCCTTGTGCTTAGCACCAATGGAAACCCTGAAATTGTATATGATTTTAATGTAGCCAACCTGTTGGGTGGCTGCTATCGTTTAGTTGTGCTGTTCTTGTAATATTAGCAAAATTCAGCTAATGTGCATGAACAGATTTTTTTTTTTTAAATTGTCTGCTATAGTTTAACACAGAGAAAAAGGACCTCAGCAGGGCAGAGTGTAACTTTCCATCAATGGGTCTCTTTTGTTCAGGCATCATCCACAGAGCACATACAGGATCACACAATTTAAGTAATTATTTATGAGATAGTATGCAAAATACTTAAGTAGGACCAACAGATTCCTTGGGCTTAATGGTAATATGTTTACCACTCCTGGTTATAAACAAAACCCAGCTGACAAGTCTTAGCTGGCCAGGACATTTTCAAGATGACGGTGAAACCTTTGGGCTGAGTGACGTGTGTGATACTGAGGGAATGGTGGAAGGTGCAAGGTTTCGAGTGGTCACAGGCATGCACTGAAATGCACTGATGTGCTGCACAGCGGCTGTGTGACTGAGCGTCAGAGCCGAGATTGCTCTTGTCCCACAGCGGAGGGCAATCCCGCTTTGTCTTATCGGGGAAAGAAAACACAGGTCTGCTTGGGTACGTTTTTACAAAAGTTTGAAGGGAAGATCAACCACGTGGAGTTTTCTCTTACAGCTCTGGCAGGAATAGAGCGTGCAACAGCAGCGCGAGCCGCCTGAAGAACTGAAATGTCGCTTCAAATGGACTGAAGCAGCGATATTCCCCGAAAGCTAAGTGCAGAGGTATGCTGATTTGTTTCGTTGCTGTTAAGGGAAGAAGCGAGCTTCGCTGCTCGCCAAAGGGAGCTCGCTCAGCCCTGGGGCTGCAGCCGGAGCCTCTCCCGCCCGCTCCTCCTCAGGCCACCCTCCCTCTCTGTCCCTTTGTTTCCCCGCCCGCACTGAGGGACGGGGCCGCACCGCCACCCCCGGCCGGGGCGAGGGCGGGCCGCGTGCTGGGAGCCCGCCTCAGAGGAAGTGATGGAGGCCGAGGGAGGAGGCCGAGCAGCCGCTGGTAAGAGGAGAGGGAGCGCGCGCGCCGGCCCGCGCGCCAGCCGGAGCCGCGCGCTTCGCGGCTTCCCCTCCTTCCCTCAGCGGCCCCCGTCTCGCCCGTCCCCTCGCGCCGCTCTGCTCCTCCGCCGGCAGCCGCCCCGCTCGCTTCTCCTCCCTCGTGCTCTTTGCACGTCTCTCACCCGCGGTGAGCTCCCGTCCCGCGGTGCCCCGTCCCGCTCGCAGCTTCGCGCCGCTGCGAAACGGCGGGCTCCCCGCGCTGCCCTCGGCGCCCGCCGCGGCGCAGTGAAGAAACGGCCAAAACGCGGCCGAAGTCGCGGGCCTTTCCAGGAATGCTTTGTCCCGTCGCCTGAGGTCATGGCAGGACGAGCCCCGGCCTTGGCGGCCGTGCTTCTAGAGGATCGCTGAGGTGAGGAGGGGCCTCAGGCGGCCCCGCTTGGGCTCCCCGTCCAGCCGTGCGGAGCTCGTGGCCCGACGGCTCGATGTGCGAGAAGCAACAAAGAGCAGGGAGAACACTGTCTAAGCACACGTATACGTCTTTAAGGCCAAACTGTGGGCTGTGTTCAAGTGCTTCCTCGGGGGGAAGCAGAGCACGGCGTCGGGGACACGAGGAGAGGCGAACGCGGTGCTTTTTGACCGCGGAGAAACAGTTAGCTGGGTGGTTTCGGTGTACAGAGGAGCTGCAGGAGGCTTTTTCCATTGTGCGTGGGTGCTCGGCCCTTCAGCGAACACTTTGTTAATCGCGAGATGGCTGTAGGGTAAGAAAACTCACTGTCTCTAATGATTAATTCTGGGGGAAGAAAACCTTTGCCCCTTTGCTTGCAGCGACCATTGATTTGGTGGTGTTTGTGGCAGCTGCCAAAGAGCCTCTGCCCAGCACAGCCCAGCTGGGAGAGCTCCTGATTGCATTCCAGGTGCAACAGTGAAGCAAACAGATTAGGTTAGTTCCAGGGTGGCATCACTTCTGGTGCCTGGAATCTTATTTTAGGACAAACTCAGTGCAAACTCTGTCACGGATTTCCAAAGCAGCCCAGTGTGTGAGGCGTCCTGGTTGTATTTGACTAGGAGCTCTTCCAGCACTCTCTGCGTGTGCACCATTTGTATAAGGGCCCATTGCATCCCCTCAGCTACCTTTTGCATTGCTTTCCCTCTTGCTCCTGTTTTATGCTCTTTCTTAATTTGTCACACCAGCAGGTAAATGGAGAGAAACTGAATTTTATCTTCTGAAACGTATTTTAAGTTGCTACCATTTATCTAAAGCACCTACTTCATCCCCTTCAGTAAAATAATGATGCTGTTCATTAGTTCCTCTAACTGCTCATGGCTAAATGCACTTGTAGTCAGAATGCTCTATTTTTTCCTCTCCTGCCAGCCACTTGTGGAAGTCAAACATTGATAATAATTGCATGTTCTTCTCTTCTCTTCTCTTCTCATTTTTAAATGCACTATCTCTAGATGAATGGGACTAGGTTTTTCACGTCCCAGCAAATGGACCGTTGGGTGCTTCAGGTACACCTACATTTTATTTTCCTGATTTCTTTATTCTCAAATGAAATGTTTGGAAGAGTTATTCCTCTCCTCTTTTGGGACAAATGTCATTGTTCGTAGCCATCATTTGAATTTTGACGTAGTTATTCAATTAATTGCATACCCATGTGTAACAATTGAATGAATATAGGTTGAGCATACAGCGCGTTTCACGAAAATACTGGATTCAACTATTAGCTTTTCTTGTGCAAAAGGTACTTTCCAGGTTATGTCTTCTATAATGAGGTCGTACAACTCTACATGATCTCAAGGTCATCTGTTCCTGTGGCTTTTTCATAAAGCAGGACTTGCAAGGTTATGATTCCAGAGCTGAGAAGTAGGTAGATGCCATGTGACAGACCCACACATCCAGCTTAACAACTGCACTAATGAAGTTTTAATTTTCCATCTGCCTTGATGTTAATCATTTAAAGTTTGCAGGTGTGAGGGCAGCACCCTGAAAGGTGGAAACTCAAAATCATGACAGTGTGGATGCACATTTAGAAAACCTACCCGAAGCTCTAACTTAGAGTCTGATCAGCAACTGTATTCCTTCAGCATAGCTAAACTCTCATCTATGGAAGAGAGAGCGTTTTACTCAGACTGAGGAGTATGCTTTTCTAGGAGGTAACAATTTCTAGAACCTTTTTACTTTCTGTGCCACAGGAAGGTAAGTTACTGTCACCTTGCTTTAACACAAACGCGTAGTTACGGCCCAGAAGGAAAGGAAACAGGTAATAAAATCCTTTCTCCTTGGAAATACTTTCCTAAAATAAAAAAATACACTCCAAATCCCAGCAAACAAATCTGAGTCTCTTTTCATAATAGTGTTTCAGCAAACATACACCTTCCCTAGGGGGGGGAGTATAAGAGAACAAACCACAAGAGAAAATCTTGCCTGTTTAAATTTCAAGGGGCAAGGTGTGTTGCCATTATGCTTGTGAGTGTGCTATAAGGACCTATGTAGAACACACTGCTGCGTATTTTCTGCACTGTATAAGAGCTGCACTCCAAGAATCTCACAAACATTTCTAGTGGCATGCACTGGTCACAGTCCTTACATATTGTGTTTGGAAAATGATTGGCAGACCCTCAGGTCACACGTATCCAAAGTAAACTGTGTCCTGCTCATTTTCTGAGTGGTCTGTGGATGCTTAAAAATGTTGTTTGTAACCTTTGAAACTGCTGTCTGGTGGCTGGTCTTTATAGTATTACCAACAACAGATGGCAAATGGCTCTGTTGATGTAGTTCTTGCTAGCGTTTCATTCCTGTGAAGTTCCACAGTCTCAAAGTCTCAGAAAATGCCTCCATATTTTTTCTGCGTAATGATTTCAAGCCAAACTAAATAAAAACATCTTATCAAATTCAGATTCCCATGGTGTCATGTGACATTTTTGTAATGATTGCCTTGCAGCAGTTTCAGATAAGTGCACGTTTGGTAGCAATTTAAGGCCTGTGTCCTTTAAGTAATGCTTATTAGTACGCAACAGATGCCATTTAGAAACATTATGCCTTTTAATAGGCTCTGCTTTTAGACTACATTTTCTCATTCCAGGCAGGCTGTGGATCAGGCAAGCTTGGAGGTATGCTGCTGCTTATGCAAAGCCTAAGTCAATTTTCTGCTCTGAAGTCAAGCCATGTGTTTTTCCTTGTTTCTTCCATTCTGGCCAATGCTGTCTGGTGTTTTTCCCCCCCAGTCATATCTTTGGCTGATTGTCAAGGCATTACAATCAAAACCTTTTGCATTTTTAACCACCATCATCGGTTTCTTTTGTTCTTACAGAAGGGTCTGTGTAAACTGAATTGAAACAATCTCAGCTTTACTATCATGAGCACAGCAAGCGTGGAGTTAGCTCTCTATTGCCAGCCTGTCCTTCCTTCTCTGCTTCTGTCTTCTCCCAAAATGAAATAAAGGAAAAAGCAGAACCATGCTGATTTTGGAGCACTTTCAAAGACATGTAAAACAGCTGACACAATGGCACAGAGAAACAAGAAAGATGTTTGCATATTTTCTCCACTACATGCAGCTGTTTATTAAAGCAAGAGGTTCCAAGACAGACTGAGAGGCTTGTGATAGCTAGTGTAGGTGACATATTAATTTGCAGCTGCATAATAAATTTACTAATGTGTAAATTACTATGGTAGAGAAGGTGTTTTTTTGTTTCCTTTTTATTTTGCTTAAATTAATTGCTTTATTTTGAGATTAATCTGGCAGTACAAATTAGTCCTTGTAAGTAATTTGGGGGAAGGCTGCTGAGCTGTCTTAGGTAGACTTATGTGCTCTACTGATTTCTCAGGTATACAGCATTTGCAACTCAATCTATGGGGGGATCTGAAACAGAAAATCTGTCTGGTTGTCTCATATTTTCATTACTGCATTATTTTTGTGGGGAACACTGTGCTTCCTGATGGTAGACCGTGGCTTTCAGGTATCCTACGTATACCACCCGTACTGGCAGTTTGTATGCAGTGAAGGTAAAGGCTGCATGTAGGCCCTGTGGTGTTATGTTCCCCACATGTGCTTTGAGTGATGGTAGTAACAGGCAAATGTCATTAACATGTCACTTAAACTTGAGTCCTGGTGCCAATTTGTGAGGGTGGCTGTTTCAGTAGTAATTTTAAAGGCTCTCCTGTCCTAAATTGCAGATATTTTCTGAAGCTGTTGTAGCTGGCAATCTGTCTGGCATCTTCCCATGGGATGAAATCATCTTTATGCTAGTTCGTTTTCCAAACTGACTTGTCATTTCTTACCATTTCACTATTCCTTGTTTATCACTACGTGAGGTGTTATCTTCCTCTCTTCCCTTATATTAGGGGATGACTTCTAGGCGTTTTGTGTCCTCCTCTCTGCCTTCCATCTTTGTAAGGAATTAATGCTATCACACTTGAACTGGTAATTCCTAAAATCTCTTCTGTTGTTCACTGCAACTTTGCTGTCATTTTTCTTCAATTCAGCCTCTTTGAATAACGAATGTACTTCAGAGATACATTCCAGTGTCATTTGGGGCCTCCCATTCTTTGACAGTCAAATTCTAATTTGAGGTCAGGCTTAGAAATATGAATTTCTGCTGGCACAGCTATTTTGGCTGTGGGTATGATAAAGTGAGATGTATCAGTGGCAGAGCTATACAGGAAAAAGCCCCTGGTGTGGACACAGTTGATGAGAACAACTTCATTATTTGTTTGCATATTTTGTTTAGCGGTGGACAAATAATCAAGTTGCCAAACTCAGAGGTTTTTTTAGATATCCAAGAAAATCCTTACCACTGTTATCTCCACAGCCTTCAGTAGTTGCAGTTAGACTTGTGCAGGAGCATATCTGCCCATTTCTTGGTTGTATGGAAAACAGTACCTATAAAGAACCTAATTCTGATGTCCAGAGATTCAGAGGTTTTAGCATCAACCTCATCCATTTAATGAAATGTCCCTGACAAAATCCCTGTGTGAACTGCAACCTTAAGGGTTTTATTCACTAC